TTTTTCCATAGATTTTTAAGTGGTTTGGTGTGTGCGTGTTCATACAGAAGTTGATATTCAAATGCTCTTCATCAAACTCATTTGGTCGTCCAGAACGAGCAGTGTCTTTGAGGTTGAAGTTTCGACTTTTGAATTCAGCAAACTAATTTCTTGCAGTTCGTTCAGGCACTGCACCTCCTCCATACACTTCACATATCTCTTGGGCAGCTTCTGCAGCATTAGCACCTCGATTAAGCGCAAAAAGATGAAGCTGTCAAAAATACTTATTTTTGCCGACTTGACACTTTTAATGATCTGAGAAATTACAAAAATTAGCTCAGACAAAAATATCAAATATGCCATCTTGTAGAGGGAAAGATTCTCTTTCAAACAACACAAAACACTATGACAATACATTTAATTTTTACAGCATAATTTTAAACACAACATAAATGGCCATTACTTATGTTTCAACCCAATATTTAATAATAATTATTTTCCAATGTACAGATCAACTTATCCAAATGATGTCTTTACTCGCTTTCTAATAATAATCTCTGCACCCAAAGAAAAGTTAGTACCATTAATTATTAAACTGAAGATTTCTGAAGAGTTGTAAAGAGTCACAACAAAACCTAATTCTTTTAACAAAATTTAATTCATCAGCAAACACTTGCATGAAAGATCTGCAAATTAATATGCAATAGGAGAAATGGGCTAGTGGTCAAAATATATTTTTAAGTGCTCCAAAACTAGCTTTTACAGGACCTTAATAGAAATAAAAAATATATTGCAGCAAAACTTAAAAGATAATTTATTTAAATTTTACTTACTTATAATGTGAACTAATATACTACATCATAGCTGTCAACTTTGAAATATTAAAAAAAAAGGAGGGTTTTGTGTTCTATGGTGAAACTATTTCAAAAAGAATTCCAAACTGATTTTAATCAATTTTATAATGCATGATTCCGATTTAGACAATTTTTAATATTCTAACGTAAAACATATTGCCATAAGATCTTTGACCAATTTTATTTTATAATTTTCTTACACTTTTATACTAAGAAAATCTTGAGTAATGAAGGAAAGGTTTTATTTATTAAAGCCTTTTAAATAATGAAGAAAATAACATTAATAATTAACACGCATACAGAACATATCACATAATGTGATTGTAGTTAATATTATCATTCGGATATATTTATTTTATAATTTTCTTACACTTTTATACTAAGAAAATCTTGAGTAATGAAGGAAAGGTTTTATTTATTAAAGCCTTTTAAATAATGAAGAAAATAACATTAATAATTAACACGCATACAGAACATATCACATAATGTGATTGTAGTTAATATTATCATTCGGATATTGTTATCGAACTGCTGAAGACCCACTCGAAAAAGTTGAAAATTCTTCACTTACTACTGTAAGTAATTCTGTAAATATGACAAAAATATTATAGAATAAATTTTTTAAATTGAAGTAAAGTCACAAAATAAGGTCAAAATAGATTGTAAAAATTGGTAAATGACAAAGAAATTTCCCCACATAAGGGATTAAGTCATCAAACAGCTTGATTTCAGTTTTAATCAAACATTTAAAATTAAAGGGGGGCAATCTTAGTTTGACATAGATTGTGAATAACTTTTTATTACTTATTGTGAATAGCAACTAGTATCGATTTTGACAGCACTCTCCTTCAGGGAGTGTGTGAATTCTGCAGAATATTTAACTATTTCCTTGCTCATTAAAAAAAAAAAAAAAAAAAAAAAAAAAAAAAAAACTACTACCACGTCTTCAAATGAGGGATGCCCTGCAAGTATTAAGATTAGGAGTTCAGCGTCGGTCAAATAATTTCCAGGAACATTATGAACCATTCACAAATGAACTTTTGCATTGAAGATATTGTGAACAGTTCATAATTTTTTTTTTTTTTGTCTTTTCCTATATAAAATTCTGTAAAAGTAAATGCTATTTATATATTTCTAATTACAGTATTTATATTAAATTAGCTAAATTCCATACCTACTTAAGAAGGGCATTTTTCTCTCAGTTTTTTATATTTGTAAAATAGCCAAAGACAAGTCCCATTAAACAGCACTAACTGTACTGTTGTATCAATAAATTTATTAATGTACCTTATACCAGGGTTTCTTAAACTTTTTTCAGTCGCAACCTATTTTTTATCACGGAGATTTTTTTTTGCGACCCCCAGGACCCCATAATATTTATAAAAATTTTGTGGGACCCCATAAGTATTGCTCAAATCCAACATGCGCTTGAGTAAAACTGTCAATTTTTACACTTTTCTGTAATATACTATTGCACTTTTAGGTCATCGACTTTAATTTCTAATTTTAAGATGTAGAACAATGCAAAAATTTTAAATAAGTAACAGACAAAATGAAGCGTCACGTTCAAAGCAAGGAAAATGAACATTTATATTTTAAAAAGAATGCATCGAAACGTTTTCGTTTTTTCCTTTGTCTGTATTGTCTTATCTTTATCTATTTTCAGATACATTGTGTAAAAATATTTGGTAATTGTGAAATTATTATAATAAGTTAAAGAAATATCAAAACTGCTAGAATTTTTGGTGACACCCTGCTGCAGGTCCCGTGACCCCCTCAGTTTAAGAAACCCTGAGGTAAAAGATTAAATTAGTAGCATAAAATTAATTTCCCTTCTCTATTCTAAAAATAGTAACCTCTCTTTGCACTGCGTCATTTTAAGATTAATCCATGTCATATGCCTTTTACATAATTCTGATGATGTAAATGGAACTAAAACTCCAACAGCCAATAGTAATTTTATAGCAACATTAACTATTCAATCAAAATGTATTGAGAACCAACATAACACACTTGCTTTCTATGCTTCGGCCTAGCTGAACTGCAGTCTGTCTGTTTCTTCTATCTTACTGCAAATTTATCTAAAATGTAAACTTTTTGGAATAGGCACATTTAATGTGCCAACTTATTTGTGGCTGCAACATGTTTACTGAAATAAAATTGAATTAAATATAACTTAACTGCTCAAATTTCTTATTCATTGTGAATCGGTGTTTCACCATTCTACAGCATCAAAATTCTAGATTCAACCGCCTGCATTCTACTACAGAATCTTTTACATGTACATACATATATATATATATATATCATGAGGTAGAAGTATCCAGATATCTAAACACTACAGATTATATGATTACAAAATATATACACAAAATAAATCATTCTTACCAAATCAACAGATGGAAAGCCATAATGTGAATTGTGTTTGGCAAGAATAACAGAAAAAACATATATATACACACGGACCTTAACCTTTTAACTGTCATGCCCGAGATTAGCACTGGTGTTCGAAAATGTCACCCCCGAGTATTTCTCGGGGTAATTTTTTTTTTGAGTGCATCGTATTGTCATACCCGAATATATATCGGGAGATGTTTATTTCGGCTACATTTGGTTTTTCCAATAAAAAAATTTGACAATTTGTATACCCAAATCATCAAAATAACTTGACAGTTAAAGGGTTAAAAAGGTACTCCAGAAATTAGTACCTCCCAAAGGCAATAATTCTTCTGGACATTGCTTTATTGAATACACATTATCCAAATTTTGTGTTAAAATACAGAATATGTATTTTTTTTTAATTGTGATCTAATTATTTTTACCAACTTTCTTCCCTAAAATCTCATTAAAAGATTAAAGAACTTAACTGGCAGTAGTGGTTCAAAGGATACCCATAGACTGCAACTACTACGGATTATCCGTAGTTTCTATGGAAGTTCATGAAAAACTACAAGCTACAAAAAATATGGAAAAACAACGGATTTTACAGAAACAGAGTAGGAGAACCAGTATGAAAAACGGAACCAACTAATTCATCCGATGATTGGCTGAATACTCGTGTCATCATATATCACGTGTTGAGTGTGTTGCTGGTTTTGAAGAATAGCCATTTGTAGATCAGTAATTCCAACCGCTAATGACTTGTCAATAGTTTCCCCGCAGCATCTGTCTACTTTGTCTGTCTCCCAGGTTCTTGCTGCTGCGTGTTTAGCCTGACTTCGGCTCCACTGTTTGGATTACAGCGAGAGCTTAGTGTGCGTCTTGTGAACTGTGATTCAGGTGGAAGTTTTTTTAATAATGCTACCTCGAACGAAGAAGCCAAAATTATCAAAGCAGAAATTTTAAGACTTATATTTCAGAATTCCATGCATTAAAGCATCCGAAATTTCTGTGAATCACGAACACTGCAGTGTATGCAACAAAGACTTCTAGTTGCACATGGCGGAAAAGATGACTGTAAACAATATTTTTTTCCTCAAAAGCATATAGAACTTGGCACTGTAAAATCTAAAGAAATAACGAATTTCGTAATAAAAGATGACGAAACAGGTAGAAGCCGATTGCTATTTTGTTTGTCTGTATTGTCTTATCTTTATCTATTTTCAGATACATTGAGTAAAAAATTTGTTAATTGTAAACTTATTATATAATAAGTTAAAGAAATATCGAAACTGCTAAAATTTTTGGCGACTCCCTGGTGCAGGTCCCGCAACTCCCAAGGGAGTCGCGACCCACAGTTTAAGAAACTCTGCCTTATACCAATCCAAAATAAAATTAAACACATATATTGATTTATTATTGCTTGAATCTCTACAAAGTTCTACATATGTCTTTAATAGATTATGACAATTTAGATCAAATAAAATTATTAGAAAAAACATACTAAAAATTATTAAAAGTGACAGTGAAGTTTGCACAATTTAAATGTCATTAATTCAATTAATTTCATCTTTTGCTTTGATAGTTTTCCTAAATATAGGCTAAAAACTAAAAATTGGGAGATCAGGAGATGTGCTGAAACACTGGAAAAGTTAGCAGCTATCAACTAAAACATTATTTATTATATTTACGACATGCCAAAAAATATACACCTACAAACTAAAACATTTTATCTACAAAAAAAAAAAAAAAAAAGTACTTAAAATGGAGCTAAAAATCATGCCTTACCAAAACAGAAAATGTAAAGCCCAAAACAAAGCAGATGGCAAAACCTTTAATTCTAGTTGACCAACTAAGAGAAGAAGCATCTATGACCTGAAATCATTCATTAAGGTTAAAGTCATCCACAGCCACTGTATACTTATTTAGAACATATCTATGCACAGAGAGGAACTAAAAATTGTTTCTAATTTTGAGAAATTTCCTCAAGATAACATATTTATTTGCCTTATTAATAAAGCTCAATTTCTTACGCAAAATAAAAAAATGCACACTTGCTCATTAAAATGAAGACGAAAATGAAAGATTGAATTATGGCAAAGCAAATTAAGATTATATTGCCTAAACTTGCAAGTAAATTGTTTTTATTTTTTCTTATCAAATTTCTTGTGACTCTTTAAAATTCTTATCAGAAATAACCTATCAAATGATCAGTTGTAAGGGATCAAACTTACTACAGATAATACATGAAAGGAATGTATAAATTTAAGATTTGCAATATTTTTCATGTTTAGTATTTAGGTTTTCAATCTTTTAGTACATTTGCAACTTGAAACTTTCCTCATAATCTTACAAATCCAAATTTTTACGTGGTTAGGTTTACTTAATCTTCTTTCTCTAAGGATAAGAGAAAATAAATCTAAAATGGCAGAAGTTGCAATTAAAACCCGAGATGATAGTCTAACACTCTGGAGTTACCATTAGATGTAAAAGTGTTTTTAAATAGTATCATTTAAAAATATAAAAATTATGAGATTAGAAAGAAACTGCAATTTGTCTTGGTATACGGATTTCAGTTTAATACCCAAAATGGTTTTACGCTAAGCAATTATAATAGTTTTACTGTTATAAGAATTAAATCTATAGAACATAAAATCTTGAAAATAATTTGAGCTGTTTAAAATGATGAAGTCATATTGCAGGGAAAAAAACTGCTATGACATTTTTTCCCTCATAATTAACATGATTATTTGAATCTTGCTTATCTGGCACTTAAAATGCACAGACCTCATAAATACTTTAATGAAATGTGCTACTTATGCATACATCCTGTTTTATACAACATAATGGAAATACTTATTTTTCAACTGTAGTTTATTGAGGATATGCATTTTCTTAGTTTCTTTCAATTACTAATATTAAAAATACTAAAAAAAATTTTGAATATCACTGCATGAGTCACTTCTCAACCTGGAGTCATATGTTGATGAAATCAAAAAATAATAAATAATGATTCATCAGGTTGGCATCCAAGCTAAAGTGAAATTAAGAATTGGTACTCTCTGCATGTTTTAATAGTGAAAAAATACCAAATGTGCAAACATGAAGCATTAAAAATAATAATAATAAATTCTAAAAAAAAAGTTGCTGGTGATACAGAGGTCAGGATTTTAGATCATTCTAGATATTAGATGTACATACTTCAGACTTTGCACTGTATAAACCACAGAACTATAAGAAGAAAATTTAGATAACTTAAACTATTTTTTCTTGTGACACTGATGATAAAATATCAAACTAATGAACACCATTAAACTCCGTCAGTGAATGAGAGTTTTATTTTGCGATTATTGTTTCAATTTACATTTAAAATGCCAAAATTCTTTTTGGTAAACGTTTACAACAGGGTATCCTTTGATATTTTTGGTGATCTTTATGATGCCAAGATTGGTGCCAAAAAGTAATGTTTCCAAGATGACTGTCACCCAAAATGACACTAAAAATGTGTGTTACAAAAACAACAAAAGTACTCACCTCGTGTGTGGCTGTATCTCATTATAAGCATCCAAGACTGTGGCATATACATAATGCAGATCATGTAGTCCTGGAGTCGACCCTCTTTCTGATCCCGGTATTGGAGATGCCACATAAACTCTACAAAGCAGGAATACAAATATCATCTGACAACTGCCTAAGATCCCGCGTGTGAAAACCCCCACTTAATATGGCTTCACATGCCCTCAGTGATGTTGGTATGAGTGCCAGTTTCAAATGCTTTTTCTCGACAAACCCATTCATAGCCATGCGATTGATCCTTAAGCTCGACCAGACACATACCTTTCATATAAACTTGACAGTCATAGCAAAAACTAATTAAACCTTCATCCATACACCAATCAGTTATAGCTTTCTTACAATTTCACTCTAAATCTTGAAATGAACAAATAGTTATCTTATCAAACATAGTTCTTTGTCAAAGTCACAGGGCAATGATTAAATTAGAACCAGCCAGCTAACAAAAACTAAAGGTCAAATAATTGCAATTAAAATTCCTATACTTCAAAATTCAAAACATGCAGTTTGTAGTACATGATACACTTACTACAAATCACATAGCCCTCAATCACTGAATTAAAAAGTTCCAATCAGATTAAACTTAAGAAAACATTGGAACATAATAATAATAAAAAGGCTGCCATTGCGTTTTGTTTATTATTTTATTTACAGCCACCTCTAAAAAATTTTAAAGGTTACAACAAAAAATAATAACAAATGAATTCTATAGGATTAAGACACTTTAAATTGAGTTTTTCGAAAAAAGCAAGATTTAATCATTTTATTACCAATTTTTCTAAATATGTACAAATGTGAATTTCAATGCATATGCTGCTTTCAGTTTGATCAGTCCTTAAAAAAAAAAAAAAAAAAAAAAAAAAAAAAAAAAAAAAGAAAGGGGGGCGAAAGCCACTAATGATAAACATCAAAGCAAAGATAATAAGAATTTTGTTACTGAAACAACCCACGTAAGTAACGACGGCCGAATCAAATTAATAAATATCACTAAAAAATCGAAATCAGCTATTTAAAAAGCTAAACAAATCTACCAAATAAAAGTGAGAAAAATGATTACTTGTGTCATAATTCCTTGCTCTTCATCAACATCATCACCACTTAATGCTTTCTTTAATTTATCCATATTCTATAATAAAAGTCATGAGATGAGCAAAAACATATATTCATACAGTTCATAAAAACTACACAGAATTTTTTTTTTTTTCATGGAGGAGGGAAATTATAGCTTGATGAGAGCACTAACTAATCAGTATTTACACTATATTACGAAGTATGATTAGAATAATGCAGTATTAAAAACAAAACAATCAAGAGCCAAGCAAAATATGTTTTCATGTTCTGTTTCAAGATATATTAATTTACTTTATTGGATAATGATGATACTTAGAAAATCATTACCTTTTCACAATATGAAAACAGAGGATGTATAGACAAGATTTACAACATCAATACAATCCGAATTAAAAATATTACACGTTTTATAAACGTTCAACAGGATACCATATTGCCGCCTATTACTACCGCAGTAATTTTAAACTCATAGTCACTACAATACGTCACGTGTCAGTAAATAATAAAATCCAGATGCCAAATGCTGTGGGAAAACTTAACGGAAGCGACCTACAGGTGTTTACTGTCAGTTCGGTTTTATGTTATATTATTTAAATTTACGTACATTTTAGTCGTTTGAAAAAAATATTTCTTCTCTGCTGTGTTAAGGTCAACTTAATTTATATAATAGAAGAATACATTTGAATTCTCCAGTGTAATTGCATATAAGGATTCTATTTTTTTTTATCGTTTGATTTTACTTGCGCTTCCTTGCACTTTGATTGTTTCAATTCACGGTAAGCCATTTTTTGAACTCTTTAAACATTTGGGGTAAGTAGTAATTAAGTATAATCTAGAATAGAATTTTTGTATTCTTATTGAAAATAGTAATTTTAATAATGTGAACCATATAAAGTCGGTGATGAACTTAACGTTTATATTGTTTGTATTATTTGTAAAATAGTTGTATGTTATACATACCAAACTGTATTATAATTTTAATTTTATTTTTGCGACATGTCAGGAATGTTCAAACAGATAGGAATAGTGAAAATGACTGTCTATTTTCTATAACAATCTATTAATGATCATTTAAAGAAATTTTGGATTAGTTGTTGATCGGCTCATGATTAAAGGATTTTATGATGGCTTTTGACGCATTTCGCTAATGAATGTCGTCTTTTGATACGATGTCTTTGTGAATCTTTGTCGTTAATTCATTTTATTTTTGTGCATAATTTTGTCTGTTAAAATGTACAAGGAAACACATTTGCTTTATTGAAAGTATACACAGAAATGAAGTACTTTAAACAAATGGAAATTCATAAAATTTATAATCTTGCTATTTTATAATATCTTATACCTTCACCAGCATAGACTAAGTTACGAAAATCTGAAAAACTAATACCAAATGTGGTATTTTTTTTTAAACTTTTCTGACACAGGATTATAGCAGTGAAAACAAATGATGCCCTAGTATTTGAGAGTTGTTGTTTATATCCACAGTAGTACAATCCGAAATATATAAACATTATTAAATGTAATGATGAACTAAATAATTTACAACCATTAATCTTCTGTCGAAATACAAGAGTAATGTAAAAAAAGCATTATTATCATACTTTTTGATTTGTGACTGATTTAATTTGTTTAGATTATATGTCTTTAATATACATTAACTTCTTTGTGGTTTTAAAAATAACCATAAAGTTAGTTAAAAAAACAGTCTGTATTGAAAATGGGTTAGTTATATCAATAATAAATAAATGTAAACATGTTAAAGAAAACAATTACTAAGCAACAGATACTGGTGCAACATGAGTAAATTTATGGACTATAATTGTAAAAACTGCTTCTTCAATTATGGGAGTGAAAATGACAAAAAAAAAAAAAAAAAAAAGTCTATAAGACCAACAGAGAAAAATTCAAGATTTTAACTAAATGTTACTATCATCATGTTCATCATCTGGTATCATCTGTTGATGAAAATGTGACTGGAAAAGAAAAAAAAGGAACATGAAAAACTGATGCTAAAGGAAGGAATTAGGATCATTGACCAGAATTGAAAATGGCTCTAGTGTAGAATTGGGTGCCCTTTTGATTAGCGACAATTTTTTATAAAATTTTGGCGATGAAATCTTATTTCGGTTACCATGATAGTTTAACTTTGCTTTAGCCTCCTAATTTTTTTTAAATAAAAATAGATTGATATGTACATGGTCAAATTTAAAGCAGTGCGCAATGCCTAGTTTGTGCAATTCTGGGATTTTTTTAAAGTGAAAACAGATCGATGTGTACATGGATACAGAGTTTATGCAATTCTTTGACTTCTTATTTTGGTTTTGTGTAGCGGCCATCTTGAAATTGTGTTTTCCTGACGGCGATCTTGGTGTCAAAAACGAATCGCCAAAAAACAAGGGGCACCCAATTGTAAACTTTTTACCTTGAAAAGTTTTATGGATGTGAAACTGCTGTAAAAAATTTAATTTGCTTATAAAATTTTTTTTTCCGGAAGCACTTCTGCAGAGAACTCGGTAAATGAAAACATCGCCAACTTTAGTGATAATAGTTCAAATCTGGTAACCTAACGGACCCTTTTCTTCTTCTCTAATAATTTTGGTCACAGAGAAATAAAAAATGTGAATTTTTTTTACTAGCAGTTCCTACTGTTGAAAATTTACGAGTTTCTTTTTCATCAGTGTAAGTCTCTCACTCTTTAGTGTAAAATTTCAAGGCTCTCTTTATGTAGCCTATGCATATTAAACCATATTAGAAAGACATACTATACATATCCCAAGAGTTCATAACTGAAATAGCATTTTTAATTATTGAACTGCATGGCAGGAATAAAAATATGGGGGATTGACAAATCGATGAAAATTTCTTTAGTTTAAGGCCTTACTTTTATAAACTTTTTAAATCTTATCATTTTGCTGAACGAAAATCAGCTTCATTTTATTCTTTCATTTCCACGCACTCAAAGTTCCCTACTCCATGTCAGCTGTTGATCAGGAATGAAACTTAATGATTAGACAATTGAATTATTAATGGTAATTGAAATTAACAAAGGTTTCTCATCTTATATTGTTGATAATGTTAAAAAAACTTTACAACAGGAGAAACATTTTTAATACAAGGAAAACCATTTTTATGTTTTGGGTGATTTTACAAGCTCGCTAATTATTCTGCCCTCCAACCAGTATAATGGTTAGTGCCGCTGACTGCCATGCTGAAGGGCATGGGTTTGAATCCCGGAGAAAGCATGTAAATGTATAGTGTTGGTGCGGCACTCTAAATATTTGGTAAGCCAAAAGTCCTCTTGTGTGGTTTGGTGGCAGGGAAGAGGGGTGAGAGCCCTCAGACCTGCCCCCCTGGGGTGCTCTCCATGAAAATTGGGAGCAAAACTGAGCCAACTCACACTGTCATCTGGCAAGCTGCGTTCACACTGGTTTGTTGGAGCGTCAAGCATCAAAGCGTAAAAAAAACGCTTTCCGTGTATGCCAGTTCACACCAGCGCATCAACTTTTGCTTTAAAAGTTGTAGTATGCTCGTACTAGATGGCACTTCATATCAGAAACCTGGGGATAAACATAAAATTTTGGTGTGGTATTTTGACTTTTTACGATTACATTTTAAAATTAAAATAGATTTAATTTCTCCTTGATTAAAACTTATTTTACTTCTTGCTTTGTGTAAGAGAAGCAGAATGTTACGGTTTATATTGTTACGAAATGTACAGGCGTAGTAAGATGGCTTCCACGCAAAGCAGATTTAGGGTTGCCATAAAAAGGCAAGGTAAGGCGGGGTTGACACATTTGGCGAGAAATTGCCCATTTGGCGACAAAATTGGCGATATACCATATAGAAACTGTGTTGCACCAGATGGCGCTGTGTGCGCTTGAATTCTTCCGACTAGTTCAGAACCTTGATGATTGCGAGAGATGTAACACCAACGCAAAACATTAACCAAAGTTTATATGTGCTTCTCTTTGTTGTAAATGTATTTAATTGTGTTGTAAATAAAATATAGAGAAAATGATAAAAGGTGAGAATGCGTCTGACAGGTAAGTGAGATTTCTTTATATTTTGATTTAAATTGAGTTTTAGCGACAAAGAATGTATATGCATATTTACATGCCACGGATGGATGGAGAACCTTCTGAACAATTTCTTACCGGTTTAGCTCAGAATGTTCTCGAACACAAGCCGAAAGCTATATGAACCCTGCTGGTCCGCGTCGAGAGAATGTGTCTCATCTAGTTAGTCCGTGCGGAGAATGATCGAGTTGACAGTCGGCCAGTGAGCGCCGAGTTGGTCGTCGAGTGCACCGAAGGAGTCTCTTAGTGTATCTCGGTTAGTGCATCGTTGAGAGAGCGTGTTGAGCTTTAGGAACGACTAAACCAAAGAGTCGGGAGCTCTGCTCTGTGTGTCGTCGAGTGCATCGCGAGTTGTAGCATGAAGAGTCTCGAGAGTACATGGAGTTCCGAGAATGACCGAGCAGAGTCAGGAGCTGTACTCTGGTGCTTTGCAGTGAAGCTGTCTCCATCTTATAGCCTGATAACCTGAAGGCTGTGTCGCTGATTGTTCCAGGGAGTGTATAGTAGATCTTCGACGACTGTAAAATGTGATTTTGGAACTGTCCTGATTAATATTGACTAAATAAACTGTTTTGATACTTCATCAAGTGTCGTCGTTATTCACTACAAATCCACACGAACATCGTATGTAACGTGGTGAAGATAAAAAATAACACACAAATATTAATATGTGTGAGAGATGACTACAGTAGGGAGATGGCAAATAATTTAATTGAAGAAATGCACTTGAACGAAACGAAATTTCTTTTAATTACTTTCGCATGACACCTCATGAATTCAAAGAATTTCTAGCACTCATTGAACTATTTATTCAAAAGCAAAACACTAATTTTTGTCAGAATATCCCAGAAAAGAATCATTTGGACTATAGGAATAGGATATCCCAGAAAAGGATCGTTGTATATATCAAACGATATATCTGATTTAATTTATTTATGAATTTTGTTGAATGATAATTAAAAAATCCTATTTGTATGATTCTATTTTGGAGAGTAAATTTTTCATGTGGTAGAATACCATAAATGTTTCGCATGATGTATGAACTTCCTTTAAATGCTTCCTTAAATAAACTTCCCTTAATTGGTTTAAATAATGCAATAAAAAGTATGTTTTGATTAATTACATATAGGATTTATAACATTAATAAATTAAATATCATACTTCAAAAAAGCAGTTATTTATAAATTAATAAACAACATCAATTTTTTAAAAAATATATTTTAGTCTCTGCCTTATGTACATATTTTTTACCTTAAATGTAACAGAAATTACTTTAATTAGTCATTCATATATTAATGAACAGCCACTATCTAAAGGTTTATTTTATAAGGTCACTTTTATCTAAAACTCACTGAAGTAACTGCATTTCATACAATACTTTTCCTGCATTAAAAATTGAATTCCACAATTAGCAAATTTGCTAATGCTCGTGTAAAAGTTTTTTAAATTAATGAAATATTATCATCAAGATTAAACCTGTCGAAAAGTGGTCAAAGTTAAGAAAAACAAACATGAAGCCATTAAAATGCATGGAAGTATTTGATCAAATCAGATACATACTAGGGAGCTTCTTTTCTGTATAAATAACAGTTTTCTTAATTTTTCTTAATAAATGGTTTACTCGTCACCACTCGTTTAAAATTCAGAACTCACCAAATTCTTTGATTAGATGAAACAGCAACTTTATGCTAATATACCAGTATCACTTTATTTAGTCTCATGTCCAGTGGCGGCTCGTGGCTAAAATTAGTGGGGGTGCTGTTCCAAAAAAATTTAACCTTTGTTCTAAAATTATGTAAAAGGAAACAAACATGTATAAAAAGAAAATTTATTTTGAAACTTGCAATCTTACAAGAAAAAATTTAAACATTTCTTAATTACTTAAACAAAATTATTACAGTTCAATCTTTGTCTAGTCATTTAAAAATGAAATCCATTTCTCTTGTTTTAATTTGTGCAAAAAGATCAATGATTTTCTCCTTGAACTCTGGATGACACTGAGGAAATTTTTCTTTATTGAAAGCAATGCAAGCGCATTTAGTCTTTCCGAATTCCTAGTGCTTCTTAGAAAAGTTTTCATTCTTTTCAATGTTGAAAAGCAGCATTCTGCCTCTGATGTAGTCATGGGAACTCTCAAGAGAACTTTTATCAGTTTCGTAATTTCATACTAAGAACATCATCTAGATTGTTTTCGAAGATAAATTTCAGTAGCTCAATTAATTTACAGTATTCATGGATATCAGACCTACAATAGAATACTTTTAGTTCAGTTTCAAGCTTTTCTTTGCCAATCATTGGATATGCTTCAGTGGTCAGTACTATTTCTTCTGTAGAATGTTCATTCCTAAAACTAAGCATTTCTTTTTAAACAATTTAGCAGGTGCTAAGTGTTTAGTGAAAGAATATCTGTGCATTATATCAATACATAGTATAAAGTCACATATTTCCTTACCTTTTGCCATCAGTGAAAAATTCTTACAGTACTTTGAGCTTCTTAATTCTAAAATAGCAGTTTTGAAAACTTTAAACACACTAATTTCTCTGGATTGCATTTAGTTGTATATTATTTCAACATGAGGTATCTGATAAAAAATCTCTAACCAAAACTTGAAATTATCATCATTTAGATATTTTAAAATTCCTGTTGCTTTTGCAATAGTTTGATCTGCATTTGATGTTGATTGAATTTCAGTAGGGCAATTTTTTAAAAGTTGCAAACTTTCATGAACTCTGTTTATGGTCCGTATGATGAAGTTCCTCCTTGTGAAGGAATACCACACGCGAGGAGTAAAAAGAAATCACGTTTTCAGCAACATGCCAGAAATTCGGCACTGCAAGAGCGACAGTGCTCTTCTCCCTACCCGGCTCGCGTGCTGTTTTCTGTGTGCGCATGCGCAGAACAGCCAAACACCACGTTGCTGGAACTGGGAAGCACGTAGTTCCAAAGACTTTCGTACCTTTTTCACAAAGTGGGGGAAGGCTACTGACTGATTATGTATTGTAAAAGCATAAAGAAAGAATTAAAGACTAAAGGGCACACTATATTAAATATAAAAAATAATAATAAATGGAAATAGGGGGTGCTGCAGTTCCACAGTGCTTATTACGAGCCACCACTGCTCATGTCAGCCGAAATAGAATCAGATCATAGTAGTCAGATCTTGTTATGAATTATACCAAAGGCTTATTGTCAAAAGAAGGATAATGCACACAATGCCGAGCAAAAATTAGGTTTGTGTAAATGATGAATGAAATGAAAAATAAGTGCAAATTTCCTGTGTGTCCCCCCCCCTCCCAAAAAAATCGTGGTAGATTTAAAAAAAAAAAATAAAAAAAAAAAAAAAAAGATATTCGTACCATCATCAAAAACAGGTAAAAGCAAGGCCTGAACCCGCAATACAAGGCTCTAGTAAAAGATGAATTTTTTGCTTGAGCATGTTACCTCCGCGTTAAGGTTCCTTACGGTTAAAAATCGTTTTTATAGTTCACGTTCAGGTAACTGAAGAAGCATCTGGGCTACTATGAAACTAGCCATAATATTTTCTGTAAATATTTTTTTAAAAATACCAATTCCTTTACAAAACCACTCTGGTGACGCTTGAATCCAAAATCTTTAACTCAAGAAGCTAACGTTTTATCCATCGGGCAACAAGAACAACCTTAAATTGATGTAGATGTAGTATTTTAAGATAAATTCAGAATCTGGGATTTTGAAATCCATCACTATTTTCTCGCAACAATCTATTGCTTTAGATTATTCTGTTAAAATTATCAACCATATATCATCATTTGAAACGAGATGCCTGAAACTGATGCATTAAAAAGTTGAAGTTGAGTCAACTCGCGCGGTCTTCGGCCATCCGGCAAATGCCGCTTCTGATTGGTTAACACTTAACGCACGAATGCGTGATCGTGTTGGTGTGAATGCAGCTTTAGGTGCTCAAGGCTGTTGCCAATGACAGGCATAATCTAGAACTCCTTCCCACAAGGATCTTCGTAGGTTTGGGTTGACTACGTCAGACAAGTGATCATAAGCAACAACAGAAAACTAAATTAAACTTAAATGTATTTTATATAAATTTAACTTTCATTTCGTATTCAGTTCTCCAAACTTGCATTATGATGATTCCTGTTGCTTATTATTAGCTGCTTTAACACTTAGATTTTCACCATGTTTTATTAAATGATGAAATAATGCAAAGATACAGTGTAAACGTATTCCTTATAAATGCACCTACAATTTAGAAAAAAAAAAATCATAAAATTATTTATTTGTTTTATTTAATCCTCTTTTTCCTTTTAAATTGTTTTTCTTAGCTGGTACTTTTGGCAACTTGCATATATGACTTTCTTAGTTAATGGAAATTGTAAAAAGCTTTTGAAAGCAGATATACATTTTTTACAAAATCAATTAAAATAACCTTTTTTTCCCTTTTAGCATGGCTGGCAGGAATGGAAGAGAGCACCTTTAGAAAGGTGCTGAAAGACCAGAGTGAAAAGCAATTATCTGCAAACATAATGACGAACAAAAATAGTGTAAGTAGTGTTCGGATATTTGTTTTTATCTTCATTTTTAGAAATTAATCTTATCCCCATTTTTAGTAAGTATACATATTGATATATTTCCAAAACATTAACCAAATGATAACGTTAAGCAATTAAAAAATATCCTTCAAAATATCAGTGAAATTTAACTAACATAATACAGATAATGCAATATTATAACTATTATAACTAGTATATGACAACTACTAGTTACATAAGATAAATACATTCATAGCATTTTAATTAGGAGAAAAAGTTGTCAGTAGTTGAATGTTTGAAATTTTTATGTGAAAGCTCCTTGTCCATATTCATGTTTAAGGAAATTATTTTACTGGAGTTGTACTCATAATCTTAATACTTATAGGGCATCCTTTGTCTCGGCATTTATAGGAAATTCATTTCTCATCTTCAAATTCATCCTGTCATTGATGCTGCAACCTGAGTTTTTTCATCAATATTAACCCAAGTGTTAAATTTCTGACAATTCATGTCAGTTAGATATGTTTTTAGTTCTTCAGCATCCATTATTTCATCATTTAATAAATGGTTGGGGGTGCTTAATACAGTTGTGTACTGTCTTTTCTGATAGGTCGTACTAAAATTTGAATGTTGCCTTAAATCAAAATCAAGGCAGTTTGCTACTTTATACCTCACTTAGTGACATGTTTCTGTCATGTGGCTAATTCTTTACTCTGTTTCATCCTTATTTGGTGACATTTCTTTCATAAAAAAATTCATTCTGTAATATTTTGATAATGTTAATCAACTAATTGATCACAATAAGGGATGTATTTTTATGCTTTTGTTGTTATACAAATGGTCGAGACTCGCACAGACATACATGAAGGTGAACACAACTGGGAAAGGGCGTAAAAAGCCCTTTTTATAAGCACAACTCTTTAGAAGAAAGGCATGGACTTTGTGATTATAATAGCACTGACTTCTTGTGGTGAGAACTTAAAGGTAATTAAAAAATAAAATTCAAAAGGTAAGATATAGTGCTCAACTACACAATTTAATTTAATCTAACAGGCTGACTCAGCAACCTATGCCAGCAATGGACTAACTAAATGACCAGGATGCATAACTGCTGCTAAGATTTACAGCTGGAGGACAAATTAGCAATGTGTGGTACACTAGTGAAATCACACTCTGTCTAAACTTCTCATTTCACCCGTTTAAATACTCTCATTCAGCTACTTAATTTGCACCATGGCGAGGAAATGCAAGGGGGAAATAAAAGAATTCACAAAAGGTACCAAAATTAAAATAACTGGTTAGTGAACTAAAGGGAACCTTGTATCTTTCTCTGCCGGAATTTAACTATCGTATAAACAAGGCTTGAAAAGCCTGGGCAAGATATCTAAATTTTAAACCTAACCTGAGTCAACCTTTGCAGATTTCAAATATTAATTTTCTTAGTTAAAATTTTTACAGAGGAAATATTGTGGCACTTCCATACAATTCTTCTTATAGACTTTTCACTCTTGGCTCATTCGAGGTATTTAGAGGAAAATAGTTTAGAATGAGTTTCATACAGTTAACATTCATTTAGCATGCAAAGATTTAACACAAGTAGACATATTTAATTTAGTATCGTATGAGGGGAAGGGAACTTTTACTCATTACATTCTTTCCAAAATTTTAAAACTCTTCCCTGCTGTCAATAAGGTATACTGATATGAAAACATATGTTTCTGTAGAATATGTGCAACACTGCCAACTACCCACATTCTGCTTGTTGGAAACTAGACATTCTAAACTTCAGAAATAACCCTTCATTCATTCTCAGCCCTGAGATGCTAATTCTAGTGAAAAAATTAACTTAGTGTTGGCTGGAGAGCCTAAATTTAATTTTCTTTCATTCTCAAGCTACTTTTTACTGTTAACATACATTGTACTATTAGTTTGACATAACTGTTTCATTCATACACATTCATTTTTTTATTATAAGCATGCAGAAATACTTCTGGCATTAATAGAATTCAGAAAAAAAATTTACATATTCAGTTTCTTACTTGCTTTTGCTAACAATGTAAAATTAATTACATGCAACAAAATTTTTTAGATCAGCGTTTCCCAACCTTTTAACTAATGCGTACCACCCAAACAAAAACTGAAAAACGTTAGTACCACCACTACATTTTACAATGATTATTTTTCAATTTCGTTATAGAAATATTTTTAAAAAATGTACAGTGGCTCCCAAAAGTGTTCGTACACTTATGATTTCATTGAAATAGGGCTCCATCCATTAATTAAATGTAAACTTCCTGAATGAGATTTTAATAATAAGATCTATAATCTATTCATAACAAAATTACATGAAATATTTCTTAAATATAGCGAAAATTTATTTTTAAGAAATTAATAATAAAAAAATGACAAGTATTTTATCTTACAAAAGTTTTCGTGCACTGAAATATTTTTGGATAAAATCAAAATTAGAATTATCGTTTGCCACTTTTTTTAAAATTTTGTATTATGGTGGCATTTAAAAAATCGTTTACTTTTAATTTTTTACTGTTTACTGCATAATATTCTATTTATTATTGAAAAATTGGGTCGCAGTCGTAAAGAAATTACAAACAGCATTCGAAAATTGATAATTTTTCACCATAGTAGTGGTAAATCAATTCGAAATATAGTTAATGTATTCCATTCTACAGTGCAGTATGTAATAAAACGTTTTAAAGAAGAAAATCAGATTGAAAACAAGGTAAGAAAAGGCCGACCGAGAAAGTTAATTAAACGTGATGAGAGATTTATTATTAGAAAATTTGTGAAAAACCCACATTTGAGTGCTGTAAAAGTTTCTGCAAAATTTAATGCAAAGTTTTCTACTTCAATTTCACCTGAAACTGTTCGACGAGTTCTCAGAGAAGCTGGATTACATGGGCGTTGTGCCCGTAAAAAAAATTTGGTACTTACGTATTATCGCAACCAGGTTGGTGCTATTTGTAAGTTTGAGTAAAAAAGTATGAATAGAAAGAAAATGTACATTTATTAATTACAGATAATTTTTAATACAGTTTTTTATATTATTTTTTTATATTATTTGGTATTTTAAAATATAAAATAGCAATTAAACCCTTCCGGTTTCGAACTTGAATAAGTTGCAGAATTATTTGTTCGACGGAAATCTTTTGGCTATTGCTTTTAGCACTGATTGAAAACCGTATTCGCCATAACCATGTACACGTCAACTTATTTTTACTTAAAAAAGCATCCCAGAATTGCACAAAAATGGCTTTGCACCCACTCTTGACTTTATCCATGTACGCTGCTATTTTCTCATAAATTACAAAAATTTGCACGAAAATGCAGGAAAATTTTGTGAATCTCTACATGCTCTTTTTACAAAACTACATATAACACGTAGGGTTGCCGTTAAGTAGGGTCACCAAATTTGGCAATTTATGCGAATTTTGGCCTGGTTGCGTTAATACGCAAGTACCAAAAATTTTTGTTAGTGAGAAAAACAGAAAGCTTAAGCTTTTCATTCACAAAATCAATGATAAATACACCTGAAACGTACTGGAATAATGTCCTATTTGCTGACGAAAGCAAATTTAACATTTTGTGTTCCAATGGTCGAATAACTGTATGGAGAACAAAAAATGAGGAACTTCATTCTAAGAACTTAGTTGTAACAGTTAAGCGTAGCGGTGGAGGTGTTCTTGTGTGGGGGTGCATGGCAGCATCATGACTAGGTAATTTGGTATTTATTGATGGCATAATTAATCATTCTTTTTATTTAAATATTTTAAGAGACAATTTAAAATTATCAGCCCAAAATTTGGGTATTGGAAACAACTTAATTTTTAATCATGATAACGATCCTAAACATACAGCTCTCAACGTTCGCCTGTGGTGTTTCTATAATTGTCCACATGTTTTGAAAACACCTCCTCAGTCGCCAGATTTAAACCCCATAGCACATATTCAGAAAGAACTGGAGATTAGAGTACGAAAACACGACATAAAACGAAAAGTGAACTCAAAACAGTCATGATGGAGGAATGGATGAACATTGATACAGAAATTGCAAAAAAAACTAGTAAAATCTATTCCCAAACGTTTAAAAACTGTTGTGGATACTAAAGGATATCCTACTAAATATTAATTTAACGAAAAATGAAAATATTTACTAATATGTCAAGATTTTTTTGAAGTATATGAAGACTTTTGTGAGATAAAATGTTTGTCATTTTTTTTTTATATTAATTTCTTAAAAATAAAGTTTTGCTATATTTAAAAAATATTTCATGTAATTTTGTTACGAATAGATTGTAGATCTTATTATTAAAATCTCATTCAGAAAGTTTACATTTAATTAATGGATAGAGCCCTATTTCAATGAAAATTATAAGTGTACGAACACTTTTGGGAGCCACTGTATATTTTGCCATTTGCACAACATATTGGCTATTTGTATTAAATATTCAGAGATAAAAATTAGTAGATTAAAAATTGGTTACCATTTTAATAATCAAAATTTAAGTTATAATACTTTATAATTCAAAACTTTAGAGTGAAATTTGGGCCTGTTTAAAAGAGATAAATTTCTTTGTCTCTTCTTATTTGGCTTAGTTTTAACTGTAAATTAGGATCCACATTGAATTTTGTTCTGTAAACGAAAGAAAATCCATGTTCACACAAATGGGTTGTGCAAAAAGGCTACAAAACTGTAATAGCTTTACTTGAAATGCCTTTAATTTTTTTTGCTCAGCCAAAAGTTATAAGTGTGTTATTTTTGAAATTTTCAGTTAGTGTGTGATTACAGGAAATTTCTATCAATTGTTTTTTTTTCTCTAAGAGATAAAATTTCAGGTACATTTGAACCAAATAGATTTCTAATTCAGTTTTCTTTTTCAAAATCCTCAGAAAATACATGTTAATAATTTCAACATGTATCAATGAAACACAATGATTTTCAATGTCGAATGCTAATTTTATTTTCAAATTATTTTTAGTTAGAAGCTTTGTAAAAGTGGTAAAAAGCTTTAAATATTATTATCCAATTCTTTGATTATCAGCTCGAGTTTTTTTTATCATTGCATTTATTTTATCTGTAGTGGTAAACAAATTAACACTTTGTCCTTATAAACCTGAATTTAATTCATTTAACTTTCCAAAAATATCAATGAAGTATGCTAAACGTGCCAACAATAATTCAGTAAATAAACAATTCTGCAATTCAAATTTTGAATCACAGGAAAAAAAAAAAAAAAGTTTTTCTTTTCAGTATTCTTAATGGTAGTATATTGTCCTAGACCCATCACCTATGAATCGTCACCTTTCCTCTTAGCCAATTTTAGCCATTTTTCGATTTGGAAAATTTAGATTTGTTTTATTATTTTTTCACAAAATCTTAAATCCACAATATAATACAAGTTTTTTAAAAATAAACAACAATATCCTTAAAATATGTTGAAAAGGAAGGAAATACAAAGCAAGAAGAAGACAAAATCCATGCTGTTAAGGGACAGCAAATCAACATTAAAAAATGTTTGTAATTGAAAATAGAGCAACATGAGCCCGAAAATCATGGCGCCATAAAGGTCGGACCAGTTAATAAATCGATCAACTCTCTAAAATAATTAATAAGATACTATTACCTCTTTATAGGAACTTATTTTTACTTCCTATTGAATACAATATCCATTTTTACTATGGCACTATGGCTGAAAGAATATTTGTGACAATAAAAACGGATTGTTTTGCTAAAGTCTATGAGCAATTATTGACTTTTTAAAAAAGCTCAGATTGCATAAATTTAACAAGTGTTAAAAAAACTTAAGCAGAATATTGGGTATTAATTGTGGAATTTAATGGTTAAAAATACTTTGTTAATAATCTTCTAGAAATGCATAGAGCTTCATGCTTAATACAAAATTAAAAGCTTCTTGCTTAATAATAAAAAGAAAAAGCTTCATGCTTAATATACAATACAGAGCTTAATCAGAATAAAATTGTTCTCTATCGAGGCAACAATTAAAGGAAATATTTTCAGCCAACTTCATACTTAAATTTAGAACAAACGGTTGGGTGCACCTTGGATTATCACCAAGTTGTATGTTGTTTCATTTATCACCAAATTGTTGTTTCATTTATGGCAACCTGAGTAGTTGAATGTTACCGGAACCCTATTATGACATGATTGGTAGCATGATTGCGGTGAATTTGACTGATGAGAAAATATTTTTAAGGGCTTGTTTCTGCATTTGATGTCAGTTAGAAAGTACGTTGCTTATTTTGTGCTTTACACCGTAAAATGGCTGTATGTGTTGAGATTAGTGTGAAGTTCCTGTACAATTTTAGAACAAAAGGAAAAAAAAGCATTAATTGACTGGTGTTTAAATGAAGGTTTACTTAGTAGTCATAAATGTCCCGTTTGTATGAAGGAAATGCATATGATCGAACGTAAAGATCGTTCCGATGACTTTGAATGGGTTTGTCACAAGAAAGGTTCATGCAAGAAATGCCACCAACAGTCGGATCATATATACGGATACGGAGGATATTTTTTACTCTTATTTTTTTTTAATTTATGTGGTGACGGCTGTATGCATGTTCTAGTTCAGATAATTTTAGAAAGTTTTTGGATGCTGTTAAGGAATTTTGTGTGCCACAGATTGAAGACACAGAAATTTCTAAATATGGTAAGTTGATATTTCCTTTTTGTAATGTGTATATGCATGTATTTTCTTTTTTATGTTATTTGTGTGATTTAAAATGCAGCTTATTGAGCTTTGATTGGCTACAAATTTTGTTCAGTTTTGGCGATGAGTAACTTTGTTTTAACATTGTATGATGTCATCATTCTCCTGACTTTTTTTAAGTGAAAATAGATAAATATATAGATGGACAAATGTCAAGGGAGTGCGCACTGCTGAATTTGTGCAATTCTCTGATGTTTTTTGAAGTGAAAATAGATTGATGTGTTCATGGGCACTGAGTTTGTGCAATTCTTTGACTTGTTATTTTGGTTTTGTGTAACGGCCATCTTGAAATTGTGCCTTGCTGGCCAGTCGCCAGTTTTCGCCAAGGGGCACCCTGAAATATATTTTTACTGAATAAACTTCAATAGAGTAAGTTTCACGTATATTTCATTTGTTGAAGTCTGACCTTGTTGAAGTCTTTTGGATGAATTCATTCCAGGAGAGGAATTCGGCAATCAGCTTGACCTTCAGCTGACAAAATGGTCTGCTATTATTCTCCTTCTCCATTGGTGCTTTCTGCCTGTACTTGACCTCCTTCCCCCTTGAAAACTTTTTTCGGTGTTAATCAAAGGTCTGGCTGTCGAATTTCCTTTCTGTGCTTGGAGAATGCTGGCTTGATCATTCATTGGAGTCCACTGGTTCTAAAGCAGTTTACTGCACTGGGGAGGTTATTTGATTGGTGTGGAATTTGCACTGCCATCCTTCTTCGGTACTTGAAAAGCAGATTGCTGATTTCTTAGCTGTCATTGTTTGCTGTCAGCCACTCGCTGGATCTCATAGGGGGTCTCTGTCTGCAGAGCCGGATTTAGATTTGATAAGGCCCTAAGCTATTTCAGATATGGGGCCCTTTATAAGTCTGTTATACTATGTTTTAATACTGTATTTATATTATATTTTATATTTTTTGGGGGCCCCCAAGAAAGTGGGGGCCTTAAGCTATAGCTTGTGTAGCTTATACATAAATCCTGCACTGTCTGTCTGCTTTCCTTTCTCACTGACTTGCTACTCTTTTATACTGGACCCAGTTTTTCCTTGATATTTCCTTTTGACTCCTCACATGAACTCCCTTTACCTTCAGGTTCCATCACTCTGGACTCTTTCTTTTTCTTTTCTGGAACTAAAATTCTTGATGTCGAAGGCCTATCTCTTGTACTTGACACTGGTGCTTCCCTTCTTCGAGAAGGTGATTTCTGCAGAATTTTTTTCAGATATTATAAGCAAAGTTGTTTTATCATACTTAACAATCTTGTATTTATTTAAATGTAATGTATGTGTATTATTTAAAAAATATCCATTATATCAAATCAAAAGGGAAACATGCCTGTGTAAAATTTACAGATAAGTCAAAAAAGCAATCTTAGATTAGATTAAATTTTGAATAAAACTGTTGATTTCAAGGGCAATCAAACATAAGTTTGTCATCTGAAGCTGCAGAAAAAGAAATTGACATATATTCAAAACTATGCCAACCTGAGGTTCCTTTTTTTTCTTTCGTAATTTTAAAACGATGTTATTGTAGTTATCTTAAAAAGAGGAATAGAATTTCCCTAAGAAAGGTTAATGAATACCATAGTTTATTTATTTATTTTTTTATGATTTAATAATAATTGCACAGAGAAAAAACCTGCAACTTTTAAGAAAATGAAACTGTAGTGCATTTTAACTATAATTTTAAAATTAATAAATAAGTATTATAAACTTTTTTACTTTTTTACATTATAAATTTACAGTTATAACTCTGTTGTAAATTATAATTTTTTTATGCACAGTTTTAAGGCTTTTTTGTTTTCAAATTTAAAATGCTAATTTCTTTGTTGTGAATTGCATCTTTGCAGTCAGTGTCAACATGACTATGTCATCACTCTTCACTTCCTGTTTCAGGGGTAAGAGCTCTATGAACTAGCCCTTCTCTTTTAAGTCCTGCTGCATACAGCCAGGCTACATGATGAAATAACAGTATGCAGGGCACAGATTATTTTTAACTCAAAAAATTTCCTTTTATGGTGATATATCTTAGCTATCTCAGTTCTCTAAACTAATATGTTCTGACTTTCTCATATGGAAGTACTTCCATGCAAGAAGTATTCCATATACATAACACTACAATAATTAAATTGAAGGATCATTTCAGAGCTGCTGTCACTGATATCCATATGTAAGTAAGAGACAGCTCCAAGTGCTATTTGAAAGAACTGTAGTGGAGTGGGGCTGTACAGTTCTTTGCTTGTGCTATGATTTTATTAATAGTTTATGAGTTCAGCTGCACTTTGTATATAATTTTTAATTCTTTTTTTTAAAGCATATTAGTCATCTTCTTTCATCAGAATAAACAATATCTTTGTCCTGTATCTATAATTATTGCCTTTATTATCTATTGCACATATGTATATGTAATTTTTTTTGTTTGATATACTATATCATTTATGCAGAATAATTTTTTTTTATGGAATAAATGTCGAAAATTTAACTATATAAAAATGCTCTTAAATATCATTTAATGGAAAATTAAAGAAGCGTTGAATACATTTTCTGGTATTATTGCTGCAACCTAGAAAGTAATTTTTATCAAAATTGTTTTATTATCATGTAGGTTTCATCATCAAGTTCTGGAAAAGATAATGAAACTGCTACAAACACAAATACTCGTCCAAAACTTGTGTTCTTTTGGACAAATGCTGAAGTGCTGAAATGGTTACGTAGGCACTGTGAAGAACACCACACACTGTATGCAAGTTTATTTTTGGAAAATGATATTACAGGTAAAAAATAATTACTAAAGTAACTTTTTACTAAAATGACTTTTCTTTATCAAAGGGAAATGTTTTGCATGAAAATATCATGAATCTAATTAATTGTGGCAACATAATTAAATAAAATTGTCGAAATGTCTATATTTTCACATATTGCTACCTTTCTTATTTCACTTTTGTCTTGTCTTTATCACATATTTTTATACAGATTTGCAAGCCATTTTTGTCTTGTATTGTGTGCTGGTTCATTTTCTGTAGTTAAAATGAAGAGGTGCCTAAATGAGTACAAGATGTGAATAAACTATGTTTTTGCTGTATCACTTTTGAGTGATAAACTGAATGCCTTTTATATTACAAACTGGTAACAGATAAAGATATTACTTAATATCTACTCAGGTAATATTTAAAAAAAAAGTTTTAACTGATGTTTATTTCTGGCATGGTTTCAGTGAATTTTACCCTTTATGTGCTATAAATTTAAGAACTTTGATCATGTATTTCTCCTTGATCTTCATGCTGGCATGTAAGAGACTTTATTCACTTAATTGACTGTAAGTTTTATTCTGGTAAAAGTTACTTGTCAATTGAAATAGCAGTGACATTGGTCTTTTGCCGTAAATTATTTTATGGAAAAGGTTAGAAAGAACATGAGTGATGAATCTACTGCTATATGACCTTAGAAATAAATATCATAAATGTTAGAAATTAATTTGTTTAATTTAAAAATAAAATTCTTTTTACTCCATTTTGTACTTAATATGTTCTGTTTTAAAATTTGATTTATTTTATATTTATACAGTATATAACTTCATTATATATATATATAACTTCATTTATACATTTTGCAGGACGATCTTTATTAAGAATGAATGATTCAACTCTTGAAAGGATGGGTATTAAGGAGAAAGCGCACAGGTATTCTTAATTTTTCAGTTTATTAGTGATATTAAGAAGAGAGGTTTTTGGGGGGGGGTATGGATGTTATGTAGGAAGGACAAGGTTGAGATGTGATGTTTTTTATTTACTATAATATTCTTTTAGAAGAAAGTCCTCTTAGTTAATTTGTTAGTTTGATTTTTAATATCATATTTTGGATGTCTTTGCTTTATATGAAACTTCCTTATTATTATGGCACATATTACTTAAATAGCATCAAGATTATGCTCAAATTTTTTAAAAAATTGAAAACTTATATTTAAAAATGTTTAGTTCTTGTATATACTTCATGAGGGAAAAAATGACTAACCAGTTAGGATCAGTAACAACAACAACGCAACATATACTTCATGGCTGCCATTTTTCTGCTTTATTTATTTATTTATTTATTTATTTTTATTTTTATGTATCATCAAAAGTAGTTTCTTAAGTTGTCAGAATATGTCCTTTTCTTTTGCTTATGACTTTCATAAGCAAACTTTTGCATCTCTAAATGTTTTCATTGATACATAGTTTCATTCTGTAATTATTTTCATATGTTTGACTGCAAAGTAAAATGTGTCTTTCTTGGAAGAATAATATAGCATCTTTCTCACTTAATAATAAAAAAATCATTAGCATTTTTGGAAAAAGGAAGGAAAATGTGATAGGAATAAAAATAACAATAACATGTAACCGTGGTTATGATTGCCAATCATTTTACAGTGGTGTGTGATAATACTAGTTGTTTAAGCAGCAGAAGCTGTTAATAATAAGTAAGTACATTTGTTAGTTTGGTTTACTATATTACACTTTTGCTGTCTTTTTTCTATGTTTGTAATAGTGGCTGTTAACAATTTGCATTTTACAATACATTCATAGACATGGGGTTTGATTCATAGACATGGGATTTGAGTAGATTGAAGGGTGCCCCTTGTGTTATCGTCAAGTTGTTGTTTCATTTATGGTAACCTGAGTAGTTGAATGTTATGGAAACCGTATTATGACATAATCGGTTGCATGATTGTGGTAAATTTTTAATTTTGGGAAAAGATTTGTAAGGGCTTGTGGTGTGTGTTGGTTAGGAAATACATTGCTTGCTTTGTGTAGAATGGCTGAATGTGGTAAGATTAATTTGAAGTTTCTGTACGATTTGGAACGAAAGGGGAAAAAAGCATTAATTGAGTGCTGTGTAAATGAAAGTTTACTTAGAAGTTATTATAAGTGTCCTGTTTGTAGGAAGGTAATGCACATGGTCAAACATCGGAAGTTACCAGCACTATAGAGGATATTTTTTTACTCTTATTTTTGTGAATTTATGTGGTGTTGCCAGTATTCAGATTCTAGTTCAGATAATTTTAGGAAGTTTTTGAATGCTGCTAAAAAATTTTGTTTGACTGAAAGGGAAATTTGTAAGTAATGTAAGTGGGTATTTCCTTTGTGTAGTGCTAAGATGAATTTCCTTTTTTATGTTATTTGATTGCTTGATTTAAAATGTAGTTTACTGAGATTATATATTTTTTGTTTGCTGTTCCTTTGAATTTTTAAGTGAATTTAGATCAATGTGTACATGGACAAAGTCAAGGTAGTGCACAATGCCAAGTTTGTGCAATTCTCTGATGTTTTTTTAAGTGAAAATAGGTTGATGTATACAGGATACTGAGTTTCTGCAGTTCTTTGACTTGTTATTTTGTCCTTGTGTAGTGGTGATTTTTGAGAAATCGCTGCTGCACAAAAGCCAAAATAACAGCTCAAAGAATTGCAAAAACTCTGTATCCATGTACCGCCAAAAATTGCCAGTTTTCAGCAAGTTGCACCCATAAATATATTTTTACCGATATGGATAGTGTAATAGTGTAATTTAAATATACTTATTTCTCTGTTCTATATGGATATAAGCATAATATGCATCTATATGGATAAAAGCATAATATGCATCTATATGGATATAAGCATAATATGTTGAAGGCTGTGTAGAATATATCATAAAGTTCAATTTCATACCATATGTTATAGGAAGGAAACATGCAAACTGTTTGGCTATGTTAAAGGTTTTGTAGAATACATCTTGTAGTATTAACTGTTATGTTAGGTTCCATATTTTTCAAATGTTTTATACATTAATGGAAATGTAGTTATATAGATCTTTACTGTTGTTTAATATTTATAAAACTTAGAGATGGAAAACCTGCTTATGAATTTATATTTCAAGGTGAAATAAATTATCTGTATTGTCAGATTGCCTGAAGCTAATGTGTCTAGGAAATACATCGTACATATGTCATTTAACTTGAAAATGTACGATCATAATAGTAGGTGCACCTAAAAATTATAAATTATTTCCTAATGTTTTCTTACCAAAACTTTTGGATGAGCATGATAATAGCAATTTAACATTCATTGCTGTTGCCTATCATGCTGCATATAATGCTTCATCCAAGTCACTCAGATCATCTCTTACACATAGAAACATAGTAAAAGCTAAGGCCTTTAACAACCACAATGTATTGGTACATATTCTGAACATTCTTTTAAGAAAGTTTATGTGCAAAAATTTGTTCCATGTGCTAAAATCTTTAAAAGCATATGAAAATAAAAATCATATAAGCTATAATAATCAAAGCTTATCCAGAAAGTAGTTAGTTACCTTTTGGTTATTAAAAAAGATGAGCAATTTGTTTTCATTTCTATTTATTTTACACACTTTAAACTACTTTTCAATGTATTCACCATGAAATTAAGAACTGTGTTGCATCTTGGCACTAACTGCAAATTACCCACTTCGTAGAATTTGGTCCCAAGTGACCTGAACCACTTCTGGATCTTTACCTTGATCTCATCATCACTTGCAAAATGCTGGTTGGCAAGAAATTTTCTGAGATGAGAAAATAAATGGAAGTCAGCTGGAGCTAGGTTCAGCCTATAAAAAGGGTGATAGAATTGCTCTTAATTAAAGGAATCAAGCAGTGCCATCATTACGCATGCAATATGCGGTCCCATGTTGTCTTGCATGAACACAATACTAGAAGTCAATAGCCCTGTATGTCTTTTGTTCCGTATCACACATCTTAAATTCTTTAATGTATCGCAGTAAGCTGTAGCATTCATTGTTGTGCCTTGTTCTATCCAGTTTACTAACAAAATTCCTTGACAGTCCCAAAACATGGTGTACATGATTTTTCTTGAAGGAAGAGGTGGCTTTGCTTTTTTAGGTTTCGAGAACCAGTTTGGCACCATTCAACTATCATTCCATTTCATGTGTCTGATAACAAATCCATGTTTCATCACCTGTGACAATTCTTTTCAAAAAGTCTTTTTCATCTGATGCATAACACTGCAAAAACTCAAAGGCTGCTGTTTCCATTTTTGAACATATGTTAGTGTTTTTGGTCCCAGTCACAAATGCAATCATTTGTAATGCAAATTTTTAGTCACAATTTCGTGTATTGAAGATCGTGAAATGTTTTGTAAATGCATTGAGAAATCAGAAATTGTGAATGGTCTGTTAGAATGAACTTTTTGTCGATGCAGCGCATCAGTTCTTTTGTGATCAATGACGGATGTCCACTGCACACATCGTAAATGAAATGTACACTCATGTCCAAAATTGTCTTTACATGCATGAAATCATGAATTTTTCAGAAATTGTGATCTGTAGTTTTTAAGAATTTGTGTGAAAAGATGCATAACATTGAAACATATACATATAAAGAAAACAAATTGCAAATTCAGGGGAAATAAAAGAATTAGAAAAAATTATGATTTATAAATTTAATGTGGAATGTGATCCAATTGTACATTGGATATTCCATTTGTACAATGTGATCTTCCCTGCCTCTACACACATATCACAGTCAGGACTTCCATGCCTGGGGTTTTTCCACCCATACCTTTTTTTTTTTTTTTTCCCCTCCCTATTGTCATCTAGTTTAATAGGTTTTTTTGGGGGGGGGGTAATTTTGAATTTTAAATCAGAATTGATTTTTATTTCTTGTAAATACACTAATATTTAATGCATTTAATAACAGTTTTCTTAAGTGTGTATTCTGACATTAATGATCATAATCTGCAATATTTCAAGTGCTGGTACAAAATACTGCAAATTTAAAAGGATTTCAAAGTTTTTGCAGTTTACCCTATAATTTTCATTTGTGTTACTTACATGTTATTTGTGCAGCCTGTTGTATAGGCGGAAGATGGTCTTTGTTGTCATGATCACTTGTGCGGTTTATACCATTATTTGGTTTGTTTTTTATATTTATGCGTGTACTACGTACAATGGTGCAATAATTTTAATTTGTGACTGTTTTTATTTTATATTAATGGATTAGTGCTTTATTGTTCTATTTAATGAACATTTTTAGATAAAATAACTACTAATTAGCCACACCCACGGTGTCTGAAAATTGATGCCCACAGAGAAAATGAATAAATAGTGATATGCTCAAAATTTTAGGCGTGATTAATTAAAATATCTGGAATTAAAAGATTGGTTGAAAGGTGACAGTATGGTAAAATATGTATTTTACTATATTTTTTGTGAAATGAAAATGAAGAATACAAACAGAGGAGGTTACTAACTAACGAAAGTACAAGTAAACATAAGAAAGTATAAATATTGCTTAGACTAGTTCAATGTAAGACATGTAATTCGCAAAAAGTAAAACAGAGAAAGAAGAATAGCAAGTACACAGTTAACAGTTGCTGCACTCATTTTTGAACATAATATTTCATTGGTACAATGTAATCATCTTAAGAGACATGTAAAAAGCATTTCATGATGGCAGTATTGTAAAACAAGCTCAGGTAAAGCTGACTTAAGTATCTTTTCTTATCTTATTCAAGATTGCACAGCCTGTCATGAAAAAATATACATTTCTAACATAAGCAGAAACAACAAATTTTCAGTGATAAAAGATGAATGTACATATATATCTGTATGACAAATTTTAACTGTTGATGTTAGATGTTTTTATATAAAAAGTTGACATTTTAGATACATTTCTGGTGTATGTCAAATGTTTGTTTATGTCATTTTTTATGTAAAAAATGGTACTTCAGAAGGGCTTCTTCAAGCTGTAAACTTTTCGTAGAAAAACATTCCAATAAATAATTTTGTTTGCCATGATAATTGTACCACTAAGAGTGGGTCAGGTCATTGCTAAGAAAAGATATACCATCAGTCAAGGTACTCCCATCATATCTAGAAATATTTATAAAATGTATTTCTCATTATTTTCCCCATAATAGAGAAAGATTAAAATTTCACAATCATACTTCTAAGCATAAAATACCCAAATTAGTACAGACACAATTAGTTATTCCATCGCTTGGTAAGCACACTAGGGCTACTTGCTTAAGGAGAGTAATGCTTTAATGAAAGACTTTCTGAGAGGAAGAGGCTCATATCTGTGTTACATATAGGAAAGCCCACGAAACGCCCATGCAGGCATAGGCCAAGCTGCTTCAATGACTTAACGGTTCAGAATAAAAATTATTGAATAGTGGGATGTATTTTTACTTTATTTTCAGTCTCGATCAAAACTAGACAAAACAGGTGATGGAGGGAGTATTTGCAATGCTATGATCACCAAAGAAACTAAGCATATGTTGCTCTTTTAGGATATGCACTGGTGAAAACAAGCTGTCTATGTATTGAATGTTAGTCTGAGTATTTTAGATTGCATTTACTTCGTTCAGTTTCAATTGAGTATAAAATCATTCTTAGATTTTTTATAAAAGACAAAGTCATAACTTCAAGTTGGTGCAGATTGATCCAACAAATGGAATAAATCAAAAATCTTGGAACAAAATATATTTGGAAGCCCAATGTATGGCCTTATTAAATTCAGTACTACTTGAGGACAATTAAAGCAGGTTTAAAAATGATTGTTTAAAATTCCTCGTTAAACATAGTATTGAACATAGTTATACATATCAAAAAAAGAAATTTCCTCTAAATAATGATGGTGGAATTGTCACCAGTGTCAGTGTTCTTGACCCAGTAGTAGTACATGATCATGCCAAAATGCCATCTTCAGTTTTACATTTAGTAATGGAGTTCCTTCACCTTGTTTCTGAAGACAAATTAGATCTTCTAGATCAAAGGTGCCCAACCTGCAGGCGGCTTGTGACCAAAAGCAAGTATCAATGTGGCTCAAGAAGCGAATGCAAAAGAAATATTGAGGCTCCACCCCAATGATAATATGCTGTTGAGATAGTTATTTAAATCTGTCTTTCAACATGGATCAATAGGTTATTTGATACTCCAAGTTGGAGTGAATTAGAATGCATTTGGGTGAAGTGGTGATTCCAAACCTTCTACAGACTTGTGCACAAAGTGATTATTTACATTTTGATCATCTGTGTTTGTACATGACACCAAAGTGAGGATACTGAGATTACGTTTTCCAGCCTTCAAGCTGCAATGGAACAGTGTTTCTATTTTTAAGTGTTTAAAGCTGGGATGCTCGAGTTGTGTGCAGAATTGTTTCATACGTTTAGCAATATCTTTTATGCAGTTACTTCATGTCAAGTTGAAAAATCGTTGTGTTCATATGGATGCCATAGTAAATAATAGTGTTTAAATTGTGATTTTAATTTTTTACATTGGATGTTTATTATATTTATATGTTGAACTTGTATAAGTCATACTTACCCAGACACAAAGATGTCTCGCTTTGTTGAATATGTATTTGAGCATGTGAAGATAAATTTGGACATAATTATATTTTTGAATACCTAAGCATGTTGAGAATAGAATCATGAGCATTGTTATTAAATTTTTCTATTTGAATATCTGTAATTATTTTATTTATTTATTTTTTAGAGAAGTAATATGTACAGAAATACTGAAACTGAAACTCAAAAGTGATATTTTAGAATTAAAAGATTTGCAAAAGAAAAAAGGTAAAATGTGAATGACCTTTTTTGCTGTGTTATTTTTACTTGCAATTTATTTCTCTATATTTCTTTGGTATTTGTATATCAATTAAATATATTGTTTCTGGTGTATTTCTATATGTTTCCCCCCCTTGACATATTATATTCTCATATTCTTAATCAGATTTAAGGTAAAAATTAGATATAGTGTTAGAATCCCCCCTCAGAGTCTATTTCACTTATGTATTTAAACTATTTTTGTTAAATTTCGCGTCTTATTTTAAAAAATTTGGAAATAAAAGTATTAGGCTGGAAAAAAGTTCGTTGCATTTTTGGAGTAAAGTTCAACTGGTTTTCTTAAAGCTTAAAATAGAATTTATTGAAATCAAATATGCTTCATTATTAATGAAAATGTTCTGATATCTTTCGGGTAGAGCCATGATGCGAACGGTGAAGAATTTCTGTGGTTTCTAGTTAAAAACTGAGTTGAGTGGTTTTCACAGGCCTCTTTAGAAATCAGCCTAATTCCATTGAAAGAGTTCTGCACACATCAAAACAAGTGATAGTCCGAAGGTCCTATGTCTGGACTATACGGTAGGTCATTATAACTTCTCAATCAAGCTCGCACAATTTTTGACAGTCATCAAAGGAGTATGTGGTCAAGCGCTATCATGAAGGAAGACAACATCTTTCCTATTACACAATTTGGGCCATTTTCTTTCAGTTGCCTGGCAAAATCTCTCTCTAGTTGTTCACAGTAGAATTGAGAACTAATCCTCTGCCCAACTGGAAGTATCTCATGGTGAATGATTCCCTTCTAGTCCCACCACAGACACCGCAACACCTTATTTGATGTAAATCCTGGCTTCGCAACAGCTTGTGACGGCTCTCCATCCTTTATCCACGATCTTTTACACTTGCGATTATGGTATGTGATCCATTTTTCACCCCCAGTTACAACATGTTTGAGAAATGGCTCCAGTTCATTGCATTTCAGCAGTACATCACATATGTTAATTTGGTCTAGCATGTTTATTGTGCAGAACTTGTGTAGAAACCAGACATCGAGCTTCTTTTTGTAGCCAGCTTTGTTTTTTGCCAAACTATTTTTTTGTAAATGCAAGCATAAGCCAAGGGGCTTCAATGACTTAACTGTTCAGAATAAAAATTATTGAATAGTGGGATGTATTTATAAACTATTTTTTGATAAATGCTCATCTCCATACCAATGTTGACACTGCTGATGTGCTTATCTTGCTGGACTTTTGCAAGAATTTCATCAACGTTTTCAGTGATTGGATGACAAGTGTGTGACTTATCTTTAACGTCAAAGTTATCAGAACAAACGTGAGTGAAACATTTCCGTGCACGAAATTTTAATAAGGTACATTCACCGCACATAGTACAAATATTTTCATAAGCCTACACAGCATTCTTTCCTTTGTTGTGATAATATTGCAAAATATACTGCAATTTTTCCTAACTTTTCTCCATTGTCAAACGCACACAACTTTCCACCCAGTTCACCATGTTCAATGTTTATATGCTCAGTAATGCTCAAAGAATCACCTTTCCAATATGAAATACATGGTTAGGGCTGGCAGCCATTTGATGGTAGTTTCCATTGCTGATTTATCAGATAATCTTCGTTCCATTTAAAAATGCAGGCCATAATACTAAAGAAATACCAAAATTTTTACCTAAGCCTCCTTCTCCCAAAAAATAAAAAGTAATCATAGTATGGTAAAGATTTTGTATTGAAATTAAAATTTGTGCCACACTATCCTTGCTTTCACCTAATTTAAAATTTTACATTGGTGTGTTTCTATTCCATTTAATTGAAGAAATTTCACATTTTAGCATCCATTATTTCAAACTGTATGTGAATTAAATGAACTCTTGATTAACAAACTTAGTGATTTAAAAGTCAATCTGAAAAGCATAAGGTAATTATATTTCTATTATTTAGAGAATTCAGTGATTTAATAGAAATGTGTTATCACTCAGCAAAGCATCTTTCAAATTCAATATGAAAACTCAGCAATTTATAGGAAATGTATTATAAAATATTATTATCTTCCACATACCATTCAGTGAGGTATAAGATATTTAATTTTCCTTTCAAATTTAATCTTTTTTTTTTTTTTTTTTTTTTTTTTTTCCTAACTATTTTAGGTCATTGGCCATGTGATAGTTTTTTATTTTAGGTCATTTCTTCTAGTTTTTGAACATATCACTAGAATATCCTGCCTTTTAATTTCTAGCCCTTAAGCTACAGAGAAAAATATTTCTCAACTAAAAATGAAATATATTGAATTAACGATACTTAATTCCATTCTGATTCTCTAGTGATTTTATTATAGTTTTTCTTGTTAAATTTTATTTGATCTGAATTTCCTTAATTTATAGAACTTTTTATGAAGATTCAATGAATGTTTGATTAAGGTTACTTTTTATGCTTAATTTTGTTTCACATCCTATATGGTACAATACTAATTTTCCAGTGTAGTAATATGTATATTAATTATTAATTTTATTTTCATCATAATTTAATGTACTTTAGTATAACTTTACTTCCCTACTCAGGATTTTCTTAGTATAAATGTAGAAGATAATTACAGAATGAAAATTAAGATATTTAGTTAAATATTAATATATTTTATAACAGAATCCTATTATAAATAGTTCAATAAATTGAATCATGCATTCTAAAGTAATTTTGGAATTCTTTTGAAATGATGTTGCAGCACATCATGTAAACCTCTTAGTTTTCATGTAATAACATCTCAATTTTTTATTTAAGTTAAATTAATTTTTATTGTTTTTTCCCCTTTTCTGGAATTTTTCTTTAGAAATGAGTACCTATTAATTTTCTGTATATCTTTTTAGGTGATTCGCTGTAGAAAGTTTGCAGAAGTTTTAAATCCTGATTAAAATAAAATTTGTTCTTGTGAGAAGAAAGTTTCTTTTGGTGGTTGAAACATGTGTGTATATCACAAAAAATTGTGTGCATTTTCAAGTATATAGAAGTGTAAGATGCAATATTTGTGAAATCAAGCATTTAATGAGCTTATCCTAAGAATTAAATATCTGTGTTTGATAGAATATTGTCATAATTTTCTGTTGTGCACTTCTGATGATGATTTGTATTTTCAGTGCACATGCATGAAAATAACATTGCTGTTCTCCAAATTGGAAAAAAAAAATTTTGCCAGATGATTTCCCCCCCCTCCCCTATATTTACAATACTTTTTAAAACACAATTGAGTTAGGTAGGAAAATATTACCTTTTCCCCGTTGCATCAAGCAGCTTTAAATGGCTTCTTGAATTCATTTATTTTCAAAAATGTTAATGGTAAAATGATTTACATAATTTATTTTCTTCACTAGTGTCTACAAAACAATCAAAAGCAGTTCTGGTATTCATTCTTGGATCACCCTTCAATATTATTTGCTATAGTGGCAATGGTATCCTATAGATGAGACAAAAAACCAAGAATGTTTTTTTTTGTCTCATCTCTTGTTTTTTTAATTAGTAAGGAAATTGTTTTCCAATGACAAATAAAATTTAATTAATTAATGAAAATTAAATAGTTTAAATTTCAGTCTCTCTTTCTAGTGATCTTCATAAATTTTTCTTTGATCTGAACTGTCTTAATCTACTGTGGACATATATAGAATTTTAATGAAGATTCATTTAATGTTTAGTCAGTAAATATTTGCATTGAATTTTGTTTTATATCCATATGTGGTACATTACTAAGTTTATCCACACAATAGTTTGTACATGCATTATTAATTTTATTTTTATCAAGTTTAGAAGTACTTTTATAAATTAAAACCTTTCCCTAGTCAGGAGTTCACTTAAAGTTCAAGCATGGTTTGTGGCACAAGAAATTCATGATTTTTTATATTTCTAAGTTGGCAGTATGGTTGGTATCCATAGACTCCAACCTGCAGCAGAACTTGTTAGTAGTAAGCGCACGAACGACATTTTTACAACTTTTAAAATGTGTGCGTAATGCATGTTGTAATTAACCATTAATTAATTTTTAATTAATCATTAATTGTAATCAATTTTGTTACATTTAAAACCCATATACATATAAAACTGAATAATTTAAAATATGCCTTGTAAATTATATGCATATTAAATTAGAAATTTTCATTTAATTCCTCAAACCATGTGTAGCACTAAATCTATTATATGAAAAAAGTATGTATTTTAAATACTACTAATCATAGAAAAAATCAGAATCCATAAATCGTATATCTTTATTCTGGATTTGATTTCCACAGGGAAATAAAATTTATATAACCAAGAGTAATACATATAAGCATTATGCAAAGATTTATATGTAGCATGCTTAGCAAGCTTAAGTTCTGATTTTAAGAATTTTTTTTTTTATAACACAATTCTTCATTTGCCTACATACTTATTTTTTTAATCGAAACTGCTTCAAGAGTTTTAGGACCTAAATTTGGTCGAAATTCTGTCTGACTTTTTTCCAACAATAGAAAAAATTCCTTTGTGAGCATTTGAATGAGGTATTAAGACAGCAAGCATTACAATAGGCAATAGTTTGTATTTAATACACCCATTCATATTTTTTAATTTGGCAATTTCTCCCCATGCTATATCAATATGCAAATCTACAATTTCTTTCAAATCATCTACTTGATACATGGAAAATTCAATTTCCACTTGATTAAGGTATTTTTCATCAATAATGGATGGAAAAGTATTCATCAAGTAAATAACAGATGAAAATGAAACTTCAATCCTCAAGTTGATGTCAGCAACTTCAGCATGTTTTAGAAATGAATCACTTAGTGGAAATTTATCTATTATATATGAACATGCAGTTACAAAAAAGCTCATACAGAATTGAAAAATGATTTCACTTCACTTTCATTCAACTTGGCATTTTTTAAATATAGTCTTGTTTTCGCACCAATCACTAAATTTTCACTTTGATTTTGTTTACTATACTTCTGAAATGGAGGAGATGTTAGAGTAAAATCTTCATTTTCTTTAGAAATTACTGATGGTTTTACAAATCTAACAAATAAATTCATTAAAAGTTCAACAAGTTCTCTTCTCAGTTTATGTATATAAGGAACTTGTAGTTGCAAATTAATATTTACTGTTGTAAACAAAGTATTTTTCAAAACTAACAAGTACAATTTGGTGATAGGTGATTGTAACATTTTTTTTAATGTTTTGAAATCTCTTCTCTTCATTCTCACTGTTATCTGGTTGATCTCCAAAAAAATTTATCACAGTATCCCACTGTTCCAAAACCTTTGCTATAGATTCTAAAAGAGACAGCCATCTCGTACTGCAATATTTCAAAGTTTTATGAGATTTTGCATTCTGTTCCAAAATTTGTTGAGCAACTTTGAAGCTATGCTTCCATTTTGAACTTTTCTCCAAATAAAAATATGTATCTATTTACAACATTTCGATTTCTGAGCCAATTAATTTTTCAGTAGCCTTTTTTGCAGCTATATGCAAGAGGTGCCATGGACAACCTGGGATGATTATACTTGGTTGATGCATTTTGATAAACGATGCTACACCTTTAAACTTTCCAATCATATTACTAGCATTATCTGAAGGAAATGATAAGGAATTTTTCCATTCTAAACCTTAGCTTTTAAAGTTTTCATTTATACAATTAAAAATACCTTCTCCAGTATTATTCGTGCACTCTAAAACAGAAATCAATGACATAATTATCACTCCATTTTCTTTACTGTAATATGTAATTTCTTTACTTCCATCAGTACTTAGAGAAAACGATGTATTGTACACTCATTTTATAATATCCGCAACAGTACTTTCTGCAAGCGTTTGCACAATAGCAGCAGTTTTGGTATGACCACAGCTAAATTTTTTTGCTTTGTCAGAATCCAGAAACATTGCTTTGAAAAGCTCTTTGGAATGATCCGAAACAGAAAGCGGTAGATTGTGTTCAATTAAAAACCGAACAAAATAGCAATCTGCTTCTACCTGTTTCGTCATCTTTTATTAAGAAATTCGTTATTTCTTTAGATTTTACAGTGCCAAGTTCTATATGCTTTTGAGAAAAAAAATATTGTTTACAGTCATCTTTTCCGCCATGTGCAACTAGAAGTCTTTGTTGCATACACTGCAGTGTTCGTGATTCACAGAAATTTCGGATGCTTTAATGCATGGAAATTCTGAAGAATATAAGTCTTAAAATTTCTGCTTTGATAATTTTGGCTTCTTCGTTCGAGGTAGCATTATTAAAAAAAACTTCCACCTGAATCACAGTTCACAAGACGCACACTAAGCTCTCGCTGTAATCCAAACAGTGGAGCCGAAGTCAGGCTAAACACGCAGCAGCAAGAACCTGGGAGACAGACAAAGTAGACAGATGCTGCGGGGAAACTATTGACAAGTCATTAGCGGTTGGAATTACTGATCTACAAATGGCTATTCTTTAAAACCAGCAACACACTCAACACGTGATATATGATGACACGAGTATTCAGCCAATCATCGGATGAATTAGTTGGTTCCGTTTTTCATACTGGTTCTCCTACTCTGTTTCTGTAAAATCCGTTTTTTTACCATATTTTTTGTAGCTTGTAGTTTTTCATGAACTTCCATAGAAACTACGGATAATCCGTAGTAGTTGCAGTCTATGGGTATCCTTTGAACCACTACTGCCAGTTAAATTCTTTAACCTTTTAATGAGATTTTAGGGGAGAAAGTTGGTAAAAATAATTAGATCACAATTAAAAAAATACATATTCTGTATTTTAACACAAAATTTGGATAATGTATATTCAATAAAGCAATGTCCAGAAGAATTATTGCCTTTGGGAGGTACTAATTTCTGGAGTACCTTTTTAAGGTCCGTGTGTATATATATGTTTTTTCTGTTATTCTTGCCAAACACAATTCACATTATGGCTTTCCATCTTTTGATTTGGTAAGAATGATTTATTTTGTGTATATATTTTGTAATCATATAATCTGTAGTGTTTAGATATCTGGATACTTCTACCTCATGATATATATATATATATTTATGTATGTACATGTAAAAGATTCTGTAGTAGAATGCAGGCGGTTGAATCTAGAATTTTGATGCCGTAGAATGGTGAAACAACGATTCACAATGAATAAGAAATTTGAGCAGTTAAGTTATATTTAATTCAATTTTATTTCAATAAACATGTTGCAGCCACAAATAAGTTGGCACGTTAAATGTGCCTATTCGAAAAAGTTTACATTTTAGATAAATTTGCAGTAAGATAGAAGAAACAGACAGACTGTAGTTCAGCTAGGCCGAAGCATAGAAAGCAAGTGTGTTATGTTGGTTCTCAATACATTTTGATTGAATAGTTAATGTTGCTATAAAATTACTCTTGGCTGTTGGAGTTTTAGTTCCATTTACATCATCAGAATTATGGAAAAGGCATATGACATGGATTAATCTTGAAATGAAGCAGTGCAGAGAGAGGTTACTATTTTTAGAATAGAGAAGGGAAATTAATTTATGCTACTAATTTAATCTTTTACCTCAGCGTTTCTTAAACTGAGGAGGTCTCGAGACCTGCAGCAGGGGGTCACCAAGAATTTTCGCAGTTTTGATATTTCTTTAACTTATAATAATTTTAAAATTTCAAATATTTTTACACAATGTATCTGAAAATAGATAAAGATAAGACAATACAGACAAAGAAAAAAACGAAAACGTTTTGACACATTCTTTTTAAAATATAAATGCTCATTTTCCTTGCTTTGCACGTGACACTGTCATTTTGAATGTTACTTATTTAAAATTTATATTACTTATTTAAAACAGAAAAGTGTAAAAATTAACAGTTCACTCATGTGTGTGTTGGATTTGAGCAATACTTATGGGGTCCCACAAAATTTCTATAAATATTATGGGATCGTGGGTGGTCGCAACTGAAAAAAGTTTAAGAAACCCTGTTTTACATTATAAGGAATTTCTCCCGCCCTCTTGGCATGCCTTCGTGGTGTGGTGGTCCTCACGCTGGGGGCGTATTTCAGGAATGTGCGGTTTGATTCCTGGCGAAGGCGTTGCTCATTTTTAATCTTTCCTGCTTCCAAATAACCTAATGTCTCTACAGTGGCGCCCAAACTAAAAGGGTGTTCGATGATGATTCTCCACACCCAGAATTTGGCTATTGAGTCCACTAAAAACCCCAGTCACTCTTTAAAAGTTGAGTGTATAAGGTATTTCTCCCACCTTCATGGTGTGGTGATCTGCATGTTGGGCGTGTATTCCAGAGGTGCATGGTTCGATTCCCGGCTAAGGCGTTGCTCATTTTTCATCTTTCCTGCTTCCAAATAACCTAATGTATCTACAATATATTATTTATTTTTCTTACATATATGTCTCATTTAGTGCTTATTTTAATTCTTGAAGTACATGTAGTCTTTTACTTAATTAGTTATGGCTGATATTTCAGAGGTTAAAATTAAGATGACTTTGAAACTAGATGAGATTAGAACAGAAAGAACATATTTTCAACACCTCCCGTATAGGATATTAGTACAGTAGTAATATTAATTACGTTGATGAAATGCATTACTAAGATGTTAATGAATAAAATAACATCTGTCTAATGCAGAAAGAGTAAATGAATTATACCTCTGGAAAAAGTGTTTCTTGAAATAAGATTATAGAAATATGTTGAAACCAATATGATCATAAAATTTCAAATACTGCCCTAATTAATACATACTTTAAATGTAAAAAAAGTGTTGTCTGTAATAATATTTTTTTTTTAGCTATATCATGATTGCAGTTTCCATGAAATGTTTTATTTTTAAAGATAATGAATTATTCTCTGAAAAATCATTTACTCTTTTTGTCATTGATGATATGAAAGTATGCTAAAAAGCTTACCACATTACATAATTCTGAAAAATTCTAGTTTCTGAACAAAAAAGTACCAATTCAACAATCTTAAATGTAACTCCATTTTCTTTGAAGAAAATATTTTAGTCGAATGTGTACATGCAGCTTTGATATCTTTCATCTTTATTTACAAATCTAATTTCATCAGGTGCTTATTTATTAGTTATTTTCTAGTATTTCAGAATTTGTCATTTGTGTTCAACTTTAAAGCATCATTCAACCCTACCAAATTTTAATATCCCCCCTTTTTGTAGTCAATCGAAATCCTGCATTATTGCATAGAATTTGGAGAGAGAGAGATTCTTGCCTGCAAAATGTGTGTATCATTGAGATATCTACCGCCATTAACGTAATGCTTATAAAAACATTAACATTGAAGCATCCAAATATTCTTCTAGAATTTTTTTAACCATATATGCTTGTTTATTGTGATGTTTCAAAAGATTTTTTTTTTAAGGTATGCTGATATAATTTGTTTCTTGAAAAGTATATATCATTTTTAAGCTTGTAAACAAAAGATTGCATGTATGACTAATTGTTAAAATAATGCATTTTAAGATGTGAAGAATTTTAAAATTATGTATTACTTGTATATGCTGGTTTAATATTTAGAACTTTTATGCTGATGAACAGAATTTGTGTGTGTGTATGTTTTGTCTGTCTGAAAAGTCTCCATGGTTTGTTTTATAGTAATCAGTGTATTTTGGATTCTTTATAGTATGAGGGAGAGGAGGGGGGAACCAGGAACATTTTTTCCAAACCATTGTCCATAAAGCTGTTGTTGAAGCTACAGTTTTATATATATATTAAGTATTTGCTGTGGTCGTCCATTTTTCTGTTACTGCTAATATAAAGGAACTGATACATTTGCAAAGTTTTATAAGTATGAATAGTTAATAAAATTAGTTGCTAATGCTCATGCCCCATTATTGAAGAGCTAGAATATTTTAAACTTTTTTTATTATTGTTATTCCTATTATTTAATTTTCTCCTTTCTTTATTATTTTATAATAAAACCTGGATAACTAATAAATAAATAGTAAATTGAAAAATTATCTTACATTCAAGTACTCTATAATTTTTATTAGTAATCTCCTTAGATAATAATAAATTTTAATGCTGTAATTTACATCCACTGACATAAATTTGGAGATTTATAAATCTGATGTAACTTTAAGAACTTTTTTATATTTATTAATTTTTAGCTTTTATTTACTTTTTATGAACTTGAATTGTATTTTCTGTGTTTTTATGCAAATTACTTATGCTAGCTATGAGAGGTGGTTTTTGTAATCTCTCTAAAATTATATCCATATAATGTGATGTAATTTTTATCCTCAATGAGACTTTGTAAATATGCTTGTTTGTACTTTCTTCTTTAATGTGAGCTTGCTTATCTGAAGAGTGTTCTCAGAAAGTTGAAGCTGTATTCATTATTCACCTACATATAACCAGCCTCATCATGGAATTATTTCATAATGAAATAAATTTTGGTTTATACTATAATGTTGTCCTTCTTTTAAAATATTTTTTCATCAGAAAGTTGTAATGCAAATGTAAGGGATTATCAGAATTTTAGTTGTTTAAAAAAAAAAAAAAAAAAAATTGTTGTGTACACATTTTCCAAATTATCTTATAAAGGCAATTAGATATGGCAAAACACACAAGGGCTATCTGGGTAAAGTATGCCTTCATGGAAGACTTTCTGGGAAAAAATGGTTTATATTAATTTTACAGAGGGATGAACCCATGAAAGTTTGCGCCAGCTCATTCTACTTGGCTTGAATCCAGGGACAGATTATGAGTATTTAGCAGTCTAACTCAGCTACGGGTGGGAGGCCTTCTATCTATAATTGTTAAAACAGTGCAAACACTCTACCTCAGTGCATGTCAGTGGTCAGAATTAGCTTGTCTTTGTTCTGTATATCTATGTATATGATTTTACTAACATTGAAAGGTCTCAAAGTAATTGTCATTTAGTATCTATTTTCCAGTATTTATTACTTGACCAATTTTATCTGTAATCATTGATCAGTAATCGTGTGATACAAAAACAATGCATTTTGTAGTTAAAGAATTATTAAATTTAAATTACTACTTATTCATGTTAATTCATAAGCTTAAAATTTCTAGCATACATCTAATGAACAGAAATGCTAATAATATAACCTTGTGAGGCTTATGATGTACCATGTATGCTATTTTTTTTTTACATCATTTTCCTTTAATTTTTTAAAACATTTTATTACTTTTAGTTCCTTTAATAGTTATCCATTCATCTAAAAAAAATGTTAAAAGATATATTTGTTATAGTTGTTTTAGACACTGGAAATCTGAATTCTGATTGGCAAACTCAATATGCTGCACGAATACATTTATGCATGTTGCGTTGTGAATATTTTTGTCAGTTTTAAATTTACATACTGGTATCTTGAGAATTTTTTTTATTTTTCTCATGTGAATAAAAGTTTCTCAGAGAAAGCCATTCAAAAAGGCATCCATATCCTATGTAAACAGCTGTAGTATGCTTTGCCATAATCTCGGGTAATCCAGTTTTTAAATTTATCTACATAGATAGATTTAAAGATTGGAATTTTGAAATCTATATAATATCTATTGTTATCTTCTAATCTGACTGCATGTAATGCAGAAAAAATGCATTTCAATAAATTATTACCAAGAAGTATAATAAATTCATTCAGTATATAAAATTAGAAAGAAAAAAATTTCATGAAAATATTTTTATTTTGGCTTAGATTACAGATATATCGTACACTAAAAGATACTTGATTAACTTTTGAGTATTCACAACAGCCCTTCATAAACCTAACTTTGAGTAATCATGAATAGTTTTAAAGTGGGGAATGTTTTGACATATAGACAAATGGAAGGAACAACACTTTAAAAAAAATACACATATGTATGAGTGAATGAATAAAACTGAAGCAATTGTCATATGGCAGTGACAGACATGACATTTATGTTGACTGGAGTTGTTCAAAAGAAATGCTTGAAAAATCTAACACTGCATTATTTCTCTAAAAATATTACATAAGGCCATGTCTTAATATGTTATATAAGATGGATTTTACTGCAAGATGTTATGATGATGGTAGATGCTGTATGAATATTGCAAAAAACTGCATCTAATGATAAATATTTTAATATATGCATCCATAGCTAACAGTTAAAAGAAAAAAAAAATTAAGAGTAAGAAAATAAAAATTCTGAATGTAACTTTTACTTGCAAATCTTAAATTTATGTTTATAGTTAAGTTTTGCACACAGTGTTTCTAGTGTTTAAAATTAAATTTAATATACATTTTTATAATTTTTAATAAAATTTATCATAAGTGAAGAGTTTATTTTTATCATTATTCAATATCCAAGTCTAAAGTTTAATGCTTATCTAATACAAATGAAAAAGTTCTGTTTTCACCAAGCATGGAAAAATAAATCATTAGATATGTAATTTTATATAAGAAATGATCTACAGTTATTTGTTACAGTGCTTTATGTTCATATTTGGTTTAATAAATTATTTCACTTATTTAAAATATGATACTTGCTTTGCAGTACTTTGATTATGAGGTTTATGATTAATAAAAACACGGTTCTCTTGGAGAAAATTGCTTTTCAAACCATATCATTTCTAGATATTTATGTAAATGCTTTGTACAATGTTTGAAATTAAAACCGAAAAAAATTAAACTTAAAAAAAAAAAAAAAAAAAAAAAAAATGTGTAACTGTTAGAACAGCAATGATACAAAAACCCACCTTACAAATGCATACAAAAATATAACATCTAGCTAAAAACATTCTTAAATACAATATACACATAAGAATGACTTTCAGAAATGGTACATTTCAGTATGTGCCCAAGCGCCCACTACAAACATTTCTATGTCACATTCATCTTGACCTCTTACAATACGGAAAAATCCGTCTTCTCCCCACTCTTCACCCCACGAATTGGCACACATCTGAAAATAAAAATATAAAGATGATTATTATATTTCAAAGCATGAATTTTAGACCAATCTTATCTGAAAAATTAATATTTTCATAAATAAAATAAATCAACTGCTTCATTCTCCAAAGCTTGTAAGATCCTTCAATAAATTTTATATAAGACCTTAAGTGAGACATTGCCATTTAATGATTAGTTTAGAAGTGAAATAGTTTACTGAGAATTTTGTTTGTTTATTTAGTTTTGCTACTACATTTTCAGTTTAATTCTATACTTCCATAATACAGTACAAAGTCCGTAATCCGATGGATTAGGGGTTTTTCCGGATTCAACCCCTAATCCGGATTCCGGTTCGTAAATTTAAATCTGGTAAGATGGCGTGCAGAAATTATACAATTAAAAATATTAAACCGTAATTTATGAAATAAGGAGCAATTATGATCTAAAGGGTATCAAAATTTACAAAAAAAAAAGCTTAATATTTATTTGTTTACTTTATTAAACATTTCTTTCAATGTAAGTTGTTTGCTTCGTTTTTTGTGCTAAACGCATTACGTGCATGAAAAGAAATTATGATCTAAAGGGTATCAAAATTTTCCAAAAAAAGCTTAATATTTATTTGTTTGCTTTATTAAACATTTCTTTCAATGTAAGTTGTTTAAGTTGCTTTTTTTTTGGGGGGGGGGGCTAAACGCGCATGTATAAATGCATTATGTACATGTGTAAAGCATACAAAAAAGAAAGTTTGTGGCTTTGAGGTCTGGATTATAGATCATTCCGGATTACGGAGTTTGTTCTGTAATTATATTAATTTTAAATGGATTAATACTTGATGTAAGATTAGAATTCTAAATTTGCATTCTACTTTTCCCCCCTTCATATTATTCTAGAACAGACAATTTTGTATTCCTTTTTGCCCTCTTCCATTTAATGATATAGGCCTGATTACATCAATTTCTCATTCAAATGCACAGATAAGCAATTAAGGACTACATGTATATATGTGTTATTATCATAATATATATATATGTATGTGTGTGTGTGTGTTGGAATACAATAAATAACTCAGGTACACTAATTACATTTTTCTCATTAATTTGTACTACATAAATTTTATATTTAAAAGTATCAAGTATGAAATATTTAATATTATTTAATGGTTCACATGATTAAATTAAGACCATGAAACTTACGTCATTTCACTGAAAAATTTCAGCTAATATTTTTTTTAATGACACTTAGTAAGCTAATTTTGAATAAAATGTAATGATTGCTTTAATCTTCCATGTAATAATTGATGCATCAATATTGCTATTATGATAGTTTATCCAGACTGGAAATATCTAAATAAAAGTAATAAATATGCAACTTTTAGTATTTCCTATCAATTAAATAATGCAACCAAAAAAAAAAAAAAAGTCTTGCTGCATTTAATTGTTTCTTAAGCATGTAAATGTGAATATTAAAAAAATGTGCGAAGGTGAAAAGTGTTTTCTAATTAATGGCTAGTTGATAAACTATTAAAGAATACCACTGAGTAAATTTTCATAAAGTTTTTTAATACAAACTTTAACAATATTTTTTATTATGAATTAATGTTAAGAAATTGCAGGTAATGATGTTTGACCAATACCAATCTCTCAACTATGATTCTGTTCTATACTTTACTGTATATTCTGTTCTATACTTTTTTTCTTCCAAGGAGGAAAATAAATTTCATTTAAAGTTCTTTTCATGTTTTTATCTGTAAAGACTGAAGCAATAAATAATATTACCTTTTTTTTTAAATCCCTCCAAAGTATGTGTATACAAGAGTATTTTATTTATTGCCATTATCTACATAATTTTTATATTTCCTTACAATGTCAAAATTAATTTATTATGTAGTTTATTTAAAATTCTTAATCTTTTTCCCTTTCAAAAAAAAAATTAAAAATCATTTCACTAACAGGAGAAAACTTTTGTGACACTAAATCCTTATAAATTCTGTTCATTTGACAGTAAATGTTCATAGAGTGCAAGCATATATACGAAATCATTCCACAGAATGTATTTTCTTTTTTTAAATTCTTGTTTATATCAGTTTTTTAGTTTTTATTTAAATTTGCAGCATTATTTTATTAGTGAATACACAAACAGAATGTATTGCATCCATACATTTATAATGCTGATTTCAGCTGCCAGAAACTTATCACAATTATTGCTCTTCCTTCTTGTATGCAATTATGACATGTGGAGTTATTAAATCTGTGAATGATTACAAATATAAAATCAATTTTTCTTTACGTATTGTTTCAAAAAAAAATTCTGTGCTTTCTATCACCTATTTTTAACTTAGCATGTTTACTACGCATGTAATATTATTTTTAATCTTGAAACAAAAACTTACCCAATATTTCAATCGTTTGCCATCCACAATGTCCTCACCCCATCTATAATAAAAATATAATATAACATTTTTTAGCCAAGCACTACATTCATACATCTGTATGAAGATGATAAATCATATGTAACTGTGTATTTTCTAAAAAGGTGCATTTAGATTAAATGGTTAGAGTTAAATTAAGAATATAAAAGTATTCATTGGTTATCTAAAAAAACTGGTTTGACAGTATGTTGCATTTAGAGAAGATAAAGTTAAGCTGGCTATGTTTTAAATTTAATTAAAACTAATTTTGAACGTAATAGAAAAATTTCATAAATTATTTATTATATAACAATATAAAATAAATACCATATTTACTTCCATATTCTGTCTTTTCCACTAATTTTACAACTTGAGAACAGGGAGGGGGGAATATATGCAGTGTGGACTATTTCTGAAGAGATGGCTTTAAATGATACTCATACCACAATAAAAAGACACACCAATATTAGTGTTTTATGTATTTCAAAGGAGTTAGGAATTTCGTTAATATTCTTTTTACTTACACAAAATACTTTCATCATTGTATGTACATTTTACATTGTTACCATAGATTAGAAGTTTCTAAATCCTATGCTGAAGACAAACTAGGTGGAGAAATATGCAAGTAAATATGGTATTCTTCCTAGGGCTTTTTTTAATATTGTTTAATAATAAGTGATTTATGGACATAATAATTCATTACTGTCTTGGTTATTTCCTTTCAAAATTAAAAGTCCGATAAAATTTATATTTGATAAAAAATGTGATCTTTAGCAAAAATGTTATTAATATGCAAATAGTACAAAATAAAATATTATATTTGGAGAAGCTAACTCTAATTGCATGCAAAATTTAACTTCACAAAAAGGTGTGTGTGATTATGGTAAAGCCTCGAGGGCTATCTGCCTAAGGGGAGGGATGCCTTCGTGGAGGACTTTCTAAGGGAAACTGGCTCGTATACACGTTACACATGGGGAAAACCACGAAAACGCCCATGCAGCCAGCCCGTTCGCGGGATTCGAACCTCGGACCGAACTACCAGTGTTCAGCGACTTTACCGCTCGGCCGCTGGTGGGCCTTCACAAAAATGAATGAAGGATTTTAGATGCCATTTTTCAATCAGTTTAGCTTTACATATCTTATTAATATAGTTTGTTTTCCTGTGTTAATAACATTATTGAAGGAAAAGCTAGTAAAAAAAATATGCAGTTCATTATTACTTCCTGACAAATTCTGGATTAGTGGCTTTCTTGTGTTCGCAGAAACAAAAATTCTAGCTTGAGGCTTGAAGAAAATTTTATGCCTCCCTGGAGAATGTGCTGTTTCTCTGGATCTTATTATTTACTAGGGAGAAACTATAAGTAAAATGTACCCAATTGGTATGTTTGCCAACTTGTCTTTTTTTTCCAGGAAACACATTGTTCAGTGTAAAATACAATTTAATACTTCCGTTCTCACACATGGTTGTTTTAAGACCTTATTTCAGTTTGCGGTTATGAGTGTCGCAAATATCATTACTGCTTAACACAACCTACTACACTGGTGTTCAGCGGACCATATTACAGTCTTGTATATAACATCAAAGTTAATATTTTTAAGAATTGTGTACATATGTAAATACTTTTAGTGAAATTATCTGTGAATTTGCATAATTTTTGTATAATGTAAGATGAAGTGTTTGAAAGCGAAGATGCTCTGCCAGAAAAATAAGAATATAGGGCTAGTCAATTTAATAACTTTTATAGGCCTGTTCTCCACATCTCTCGATATCAGAATGTTATTTGCACAAATTTTTTTTCTCTTTTTATTTAATGCAGGGAAACATTCCAAATAACTGGTAAAACTAACAACTGCTCGGCCAGGGGGATTATGCTATAAGGATATACATAAATTGAAGATGTAATATATTTGATAAATGTGTATTAAAATACAAATTAGATACTTATGTATTATCCAGCACCTGCCGATATAGCTATAATAATACCATTCACTATCCTGCTTTTCTGCGAGCATTGCAAAAATCCTAGCAACTGCTTTAGATTCTTCTAGAAAGATGCAATTTTTTATTTCTTTTAATTTTTTAGCTATGAGACTGCAGAGATGGCTTTGCTTTTTTTTTAATTCAATATGAACTACAGACCAGTATGAGTAAGTATATAACTGCACTGTTTTTTTTTGGGGGGGTGACATTCTCATGGGAAGTTCTGGCGATGCTTTTCTTCATTTCATATTAATTTTTACTAAATTTTTGTATTATGGATTTATAAGATTTCATGAGAAATGAAGCGATTCATCATTTTTTGGGCATGAGATCTGCCAAAAATATCTTGAATATTCTGTTTCTCACATAATAAAACAGCACATGACAGAAGAGGTACATTAGATAAATTATTTGGTTATGGCTATCTGCTTTCTATGAGAAACCGGCACATTTTCATCTTATACATGGGCAAAAACACAAAAGCACCCATATAGCCAATACATTTTCCCAAGTTCAAACCCGGGCCAAATTATTGGTATTTAAGGGTCTTAGCCATTCAGCCAGTTGTAAAGGTCAGAGAAAGGTGTTAGCATACAAACTGGAAGGTGGTTTTTGTGAAATGCAGGCAAACAAGCTGAAGAGAGTAAAAAATCTGTTTGACATGATTCAAGAAAACTCTGCTGGGGGTGGGGAATTGTTTAATTGATCTGCTGATGTTGAAAAATATTTTATTGAAAGTGGCCGTCAACAAATTATTAGTGATATATCAGAAGATACAAAGTGAGAAGATTAGTGAATATCCAAGTACTACAAATTATTATATATAAAAAATATAATGAAAAGCATTTTATTAATTTTGTTTCAAATATTTGATGACCAAATTAAACTTTTTTATATTATTAAAAATCAATATCTAATCTGATTTTTTTTTCCAAGTTTTGTTATGTGAAAATAAACATTTTAAATACAAAAGAAAAGCACTTTGACAGCAATCAAGTGGCACCTCCCTAGGATGACCTCACATGATTTTAAACAATTTTGGTCTTCGTTGAAAGTGGTTCTGAAAATCTGCCTGTTGGTCTCAAGAATGCTGATCACTTTCAGAAGTTGTTGACCCAAAATGTTTCATTGCTATATATTAATGAAGTACTTTACTATTGTAAAAATAAGTTTCCTATTTTTGAAATTTAAAATGTCACTGATGAATAAAGTGACAATGGGAATATTAAGGTGAAAATATTTCTGTGTAAAACAGTAATTTTGCTTTCGTTATTTTTATAAAAAAAGAGAAGAGGCTTTTAATTTTAATATATAAAAAATTATTCAAAAAAAGGAAGGGAAATATTACAAACCCTATGATTCGAACAGAGTGCCAGTCCTGTTGTCTGAATGCTGATGGAAGGCCAGCAGTTAAGGACTCAACATGATGGTACACACCACTTTTGTATAAGAAGAAATCTGGTTGCACTCTGAAGGTTGCTACAAAAATATTTGAGGTAAATGTGACTAGAGGCATCTAAATCAATCAGATAATTTCAATAAAAATACCTTTTTTAATGCATAATAGTTCATTTCAGGAATTAAATAGCATTACTTAAATTTTAGCCCAGATTTCTTTCCTCAAAACTGTTAGATAGATGCATAAATTCAATATAATAATTTATGAGCCATATTGCCTAAACAAATAAATTTCCATTTAACCTGTTCAATGCAAATGGATGTATAATGAACAATATAGAATTAAGGATTATAAAATATATTATTGCATTTTATTAGATAAAATAAATATTTCTCTAGTACAGGCAAGATATTAAAAAAACATTATTAATTAGAAATTGGCTGTTGTTTCTAGAATTAGAAATTGGCTGTTAATATAGAACCTCAACCTGCATTAATCAGGCTCAGTCACTTTTTAAAACCTGAAAAACTGCTCATTCTGCAAGCAAGATTTCTTGTAAATTGTTTATACCAGAGGTTCTCAAACAAAGGGGGAGGGGGGTAGTTAGCCTTTTAATTTAGTTATTAAGTGTTTAGCTTTAATTTATGAATATAAAAAACTCAAGTTTTGGTATTTTTCGACATTTCCTACCCCCCTCTTTTTTTTTCTGCTTAATTTATAATGCAATAAATAAAATGCATTAAATAAAAAATCATCTAAATCTAGAGTCTTGTTTTTTTAATTTTGGAATGGAGGGGGAATTATCTTCTATTAATGGTGAAAGGGGTAATTGGGATAATAAAAACCGGGTTGAGAACCCTTAGATTATATGATTCAACGGGGAATAGCAAACAAAGTCGCATTTGCGCACAAATAGAAAAGTGGGGACACTAGAGCACAAGAAGCATTCACTGTTGGATGAATAATTAGTAGTTTATATAGCTTAACAGGGGACATTAGTGCACAAGAAGCATTCACTGTTGGATGAATAATTAGTAGTTTATACAGCTTTGTGGCAGTTCCGCACAAAATTACATCTTCTTGATTATCTTTCGATAACTTGGAATAATGACTTAAATTACTAATTTCTTTTATAAAATCTTTATTCGATAACTTGGAATAATGACTTAAAGGCCCGTCTACACGAAGCGATTTTCTCGGCCGACTTTCTCGTAGAGCAAGGATGTCAAACTCGCGGCCCACAACAAATATTTTTGCGGCCCGGCCAATATATCGGGAAATAATAATATATAATAATAAAATAACATATCGACGAAGAAAAAAATGAAATGTTTACTGCTTTCTCCGCGTAGTAAGTAATTAACGATAATTTCTTCAGTGTTGTTAGATTACTCACAGCGAGCTGACACACACACTACTTAAATTACAAATGCGTGTGAGTAGCTTGCGTTCAGCTACCTTCGGCTTTTGGGGGACACGTCCACTCAGAACTTGTACGCATCCCCCGATAGCCGAACTCATGGTCTCAGTTTTCCAATCATAGTTTTGTACGATATATTGGTGAATGCATGTGCATGCACTTTGCTTTATTATTAATTATTACTTAATTCATATTGTTACGGATTTCATTATTATTTATTTATTTAGTTTTTTTAATTTAGAATTGTAATTAGATTTGCTTCATGTTGCCTTAGCAACGCAGACGATTTTTGAAAAGACAGCTGCGTTCGAAGGTTAAAAATAGAACAGCGCGTGCATTTAATACCTAATAAATAAATATCTCGTAATTGCTGTTGCCATCCACAAAAATCCAGATATTTATAGATGTTTCCAGTATATTCGAGAAATTAATTATAAAGCTTATAAAAGCCGAGAACAAACAACTCATCTCAGTAGTAGCTGCAGTTCTAGCGAACTGTTTGTTTACTTAATGCTGTGATTGATTTGTAGCGATTTCGCTGTGAGATAGAATTAGTTTTTCTCTGTTTTGAATGGATTTTTGCTAAAACGTTTGACATTTTGTGATATTGTTAGAATATTTTTGAAGAAATATTTCAGCATTTTGATTTATCTCTTGTGGAAAGAATAAATTTTTGTTAACTTTTTAACGTTAACCGTGTTTATTCCAGCCCTTTGTATTTAGTATGTCTATATCAAAACCAAGTGGTAGCAAAATTAAACGAAAAATCGCTGACGAACATAGAATATTCCAAGTAAAATGGGAATTAGAATATTTTTGCTGTGAAATAAAAGATAAAATAATCTGCTCTATATGTAATAATGCTATTAATGTACCAAAGTTATATAATATTAAACGTCATTACGAACAACACAAATCGAAATATAACAATTACCAAGGATTAATGAGAGAAGAAAAGTTGAAAGAGCTCAAGTTAGGAGTGAAAAAGCAACAGTCCATGTTTAGTAAAGTAGTGCAAGAAAGTGAAGCGGCGGTACATGCAAGCTACGTCTTGTCCGAGTTGATAGCTAAACATTCGAAGCCTTTTACTGACGGTGATTTCATCAAGGAATGCCTAATGAAAGCTGGAGAAATTGTTTGTCCTGGAAATGTAAAGGCTCTTCAATCAATTTCATTGTCTCGAAATACAGTTGCGGAAAGAGTTACTGATTTAGTCGCGAATTTAAGTGATCAGATCAAAGCAAAATCATCTAGTTTCGAAAGTTTCTCCATTGCCTGTGATGAGAGCACGGACATTAGTGGCAAAGCTCAATTAGCAGTGTTTCTTCGTTCTTGTGACAAGAATTTTAACATTTTTGAGGAATTACTGGAACTAATACCGATGCCTGGTACTACCACAGGAGAAGATATATTTACTTGTGTTTTTGGACTTCTGCAGAAATACAATCTACCTTTGGCAAAATTAAATTCTGTAGCTACAGGTGGCGCTCCATCAACGACCGGGAAAAACAAGGGCTTCGTAACATTACTAAGAAAAAAACTTAGTGAAATTCACGGTTCAAACATTCATCATATGCATTGTATTATACATCAAGAAGTTCTATGCACGAAAGTAATAAATATGGAGAACGTTTTGTCATATATAAAAAAAGTTATAAATTTTGTAAGATCTCGAGGTTTAAATCAGCGTCAATTCACAGCTTTCTTAAATGAGTTAGTTAGTGAATTTTCGGGTTTGTCCTACTATACCGAGGTACGTTGGTTATCTTGCTCCAAGATTCTCAAACAATTCTGGGATTTGAAAGAAGAAATATGTCAGTTTTTAAAAACAAAAAATCAAGACGTAAGTTTGTTTTACGATACAATATGGATACAAGATTTATCTTTCTTGGTTGATATAACCAAACACTTAACCGATTTAAATTTATCGTTACAAGGAAAAGATGATATCATTACGAACATGTTTGACATAATTAAAGCATTCAAATGTCAACTAGTTCTTTGGGAAAAACAACTTAAAAATGAAGATTGGACGCACTTCCCGACGTGCAGCATGAACAATTCAAGTTTAGATGATACTTGTTCGTATCAAAAATACGCAGAAAAGAATTGCAAATTTAACAACTGAATTTGAAACGAGGTTTAATGATTTTAGTTCCCTCGAAGACAATTTTTTTTTTTTTTTTTTTTTTTTTTTTTTTTTGTTTTCTTCGATTTTCTCAATAAGTATTGACTCAGTACCCAGCCATATATATGCAAATGGAGGTGATCGAGATTCAAATTTGAAAGCAAAATTCATTGAAGTGGGCGTGCCTGAATTTTACAAATATTTACCAGTTAGGTTCGAAAATTCGCATATGAAATTATTTCCATGTGTGGTAGCACTTATCGGTGCGAGCAGTTATTTTCAGTCATGAAAGGTAATAAGTCTCCTATTAGAAACCGTATTAATGATGCTCACCTTGGGTCAGCGTTGAAAGTTATCACTGCAAACAAAATTTCTCCCGAAATAGGAAGGATAATAGCAGAGAAGAGAAGTCAAGTATCAGGACGTAAACATTAAATTTTTCTTGTTATATATATATATGTTTATTATTATATTATTCGAAATAAATCTACGTTTCCATGAATATTCATTTCTTTTTTTTTTTTTTTTTCCCCGGCTCGCCTAAAGTTAAACCTTGTTTGTTTGGCCCAAGTGTACCTGAGTTTGACATCCCTGTCGTAGAGCAACAATTTTAAGGATCTGCGCATGCGCCAAAAATCGGTCATGTTCTCTGCCGCGATTTCAGAACTGGTGTTCACTGCTCACTAGCGTACGATAAAATCGGAGTCTTAAGCCAATAAGATTGCTTTGAGTGATCACGTGCTTTTCTCCTCATTTGGAAAAATAAACATGGCTGCATTTCGTTGGAGCGAAACTCAAATTTTTGAACTAATAGATTTCTATAGAGGAAATGTTGTGTTGTGGGACACGAGTAATATAAATTTTAAAATAAAAGATTAAGGGATTCTCTTATTTTGGTAAGCTTTGCCTTCCCCATTACTTTATATATTCAAATATTTCTTATTCGGGGTGAAAATTATTTTAACCCCCAAGAAAAGTTCCAAAAACTATTAATGACACCATGTCATGAGTACTAGATAAAAATATTCAGAAAGCAAAATCTCCAGTCGAGAAATTACGAGCCGATTTAAAGCAGCGCAGAGATTCATTGACTTCGCCGAAAATGGGCGTTAATCAGGTGCCGAAGTACATAACTTTTCCGACATATCCTCCACGAGTGATTATAGCCCAGTGGTAAGGAGCAGAGCCGGCTTTCTTCGTACATCGAGATCGTGGTTTCGATCCCCCACATTAATTTTGGACTTTCTGCGCTTGGAAGAACTTTTTAATTTAGTTCTCCATCACTAAATTCGGAACTGCATGACTTAAAAGTCACTTTTTATTTTTTCGCCTACGGTTGTGGTGTTTATTGAATTTTAACGCCTTTCTTATTATTTTTCGAATGGCCGTTGGCACGTGTTTTAGACTACTAATTTCTTTTATATTATTATATAAGAAGACTGAACTGCACAAATATAGATTTTAACAAAATGTTTATATTATGTATCAACACGTAAGGAATGAAAAATACCTTAAGTTACTTTTTAAATGAG